CTCCCCACAACCGCTTCTTGATATAGGTACTTTAGTCAATTCGACCTTCTTTTATTTTTTGTTTTCCATATCACTGCCGGACTATTCACCCAGCACCTATTATTGTCTGGCCCGGAACGGCTGGCAGCAGCGCTGTGTCATCCTTGGTCCAATTGATCAGCCGGTCCATAGGCATATCCATAGCCTGGATGGACCCGGTCTAGTCCCCTTAAAACGATGTGTATCAGCCCGACACTGCCAAGCTCAAGCACACTGTCACCAGCGTCCGCAAGACGTCTCGCTTAATGACCCTAGCTTGGATAAAGTTTCCGCGGAAACCTAAACCGGACGGGGAGCGCTGCTATTAAGGTCACCGTCCAAGTGCAAAAGATTGGGACATCGCTACGGAACTTTTGTACCTCTCTGCTGCTCCTTACATAATATGCCTGCGCGGTCGCGGTTGAGACCATTAAAGTCCACTGGACGCCGCAAAAAGTCCTGTGGTAAGTCACTCCTTGACACTCGACAGCCACCCTATGAGCCGATCGGCCCGCTGGAATGCTTCGTTTTGGCGAAGAGTTGTGTGTTCTGACGCAAGACGCACTCATGAGTTGGCAGCGTCATGTTTTGTATGTGGTGTTGAGCTTTGTTCTTCTTGTACATGCCGACATGACCGGCTCCCGTGCCTCCATGCAGCTCGTAAGCGCAGGTCGACGGATCTTGCAACGATGCTGGTGCAGACCAAGTCCGACATTACCGCAACCCCTCTCTGCTCTTCGACCTGGTCGAGTGCTTGGGTGAAACGTAATAAATACTTAATGCATTGTTGGCCGTAGGTAAAACATTACCATCCTTTCTGTGATCTGATAGATTCAAAGCCATGTCCATTAGTCTGGGTTTTAACGTGTGATAAAACTCTCTTCTGCCTCAAATTGCTATCAGCTCCTGGATCCTTCATCATCCCCACATCCACTGGCGATCCTTATGGAATCATGCTACCTGAGATGGAGATGCTTAGCCTGCTGCCTGTAGGGCTGTGTGAAGCAATCCTGTCAGCGCTAACTTGCTTTATGCGTGGCTTGTACGGAGGAGCCCGTTAATAGTCCTTGCGGAAAATGTCAAGACTAGAAGTGAAGTGTTTCAGCCTCAGTACTTAGAAGTACACTCTTATCAGACTTTTATCAGATACGTGTGGATTATAGGAGGAGTACTACAGACAAGCTGATAGTGTCCCCCCCCTGTCAACCTAAGAGTACCATGCACAATAACAGCAATAAACCTCATATCCTAAAGGCTACAGGTTCAAATCCAGTTTTCTTAGATTTTTTTAATTTCAAAACGGCTCCGCCAGGGAGGGTTAGAATAGTCTAACCCACCCTGCTTCCTACGCTACCTTCTGGGTCGGGATGGGCCAAGACTATCCCTTTTGCCTCTGTGTTATCACTAAATCTACTGTCTGCTGAGGTTTATCACAGTTATTGTGCACAGTACTCTCGGGTTGACAGGGGGGGGCACTATCAGCTTGTCTGATCACTCGATTGAGTATAGGAGTACTACAGCAGCCCAAGATTGATCCCTTTCAGGGGCAGGATAACGATCATGTGATTTGAGATGTAGGTAGCTTGCTGTACTGATACTGTTGGTTAGGCGAAAGTGCTTCTAGCGCCTTGTCATTTTCCGCAAGGACTATTGACGGGCTCCTCCGTAGACAGTGGGGTTTGAGGGGTTTTGATACAGTAAGAGAGTATGTGAGATGCCGAGACGAACCATCAAGGGTAAGACGGACATGGTTGACCGCTGCTAGTTCACAAGGGGCACTGACACGCTGACTCGGTATAGCGTGACCCCTGCACGCGCCTTGCAAAAAAAAAAAGAAAAAAAAAAAAAGGCGCACACTTCAGCATAACAAGATAAGGGGCTAGCAGCAATAACGTACTTCGTGTAGACAATACTTACGCATATCTAGTACAAAAGAAAGATAACTAGCTATTAGAAGTGCAAAAAGCCTATGTTTATTTCTTATCAATTTATAAGAGAATCTTCAATATCCTGATTCGTATATGGTTGCTGTAAAACAGGTGGACTAATAGCCTCCTCTATGGTATTAGTAGGCTCTAAAGTGTGCACTTTTTTTTTTGTAAGGCTCGTGCCCTGTAAGCTGACTGAGATGAGAGGGCGCCACCAATTATGAGTTACGCCCGACCAACTTGATTGATATCGTGACCAAGCTTGAGGCTCAAGCAGGTAATGGAGGCCAAGGAAGCATATTTCATTGAATGGTACCATATGAATGCCGGATTTCCGCTCTGATTTCAACGACGAGTTCAACAACTCGTATCTCCCCGCCTTTTAAAATTTCCGGACTGGGGTCTCACGAAGGCTGCTTTTTATAGTTGGACGTGCACTCAAGACTTCCACTCTTTCTTTTGAGGTCATAACCTTGCAATTGGCGCGGCCAATCCGGCAGGATCCGCTCAGACTAGGATCGCCTCTGTTGGCAGCAAACGGTCTCCAGCGATCTAAATCCACTTGGCGAACGACATTCGTTTAAATGTTCTCTTCGTGCCCGCCCTTCAGTCATTGCCTTCGCACCCGCTCACACCATCCGCCAGGCCTTTCAAGATGAGCTTCATGTTCCGGTTGTTGATGCTCTTGCATCTCGTGGGCTTCAGCTTTGCCCTTCCTTCGAGCATCGAAGTCGATCTTATCTTCCCGCGAAACGACACCGTGTATAAGCCCGTGTGGCCATTTCCCATTGTCTTTGCCGTTCACAATGCCTCGCAGCTCTGGCAATCTGACGATGAGTTTTTTACCTTCTGGGTTAAATGGGAGCTCACGGGCTACACCGACATCAACAATCCGGATACCTCGTTACTGTTCGGATCCGGCGTGTGGAAGACGGACAAGAATGCAACCACTGACAGCACCCTCACGGTCATTGACACCTCCCGTAGGGATTTGGTCAGAGCAACACAACGACAGTTCAAGCTGAAGTACACGACGACCATGTTTGCTGGCTGTCCCCGCAACGCTTCGAGCCCGGGCATGGATTCGAAACCGCAAGATGTATCGTACGACGGAGAAGTGTTGTTCACGACCGACCCCGACGCCGGACAAATCCCTTCCATCGCCGACCCGAACGACTGCCCGGCTTTCGTTGGGAGCTTTAAAGTCACTGATGCTCGACACGATTGGGGCTTCCTCTGCCCAGTGATGTCCCAGGACCCGCCGCCCTCGCAAGCGTGCGGTCTGAAGATGGATGGGGCTCTGGCGAACAAAGTCAGCGAGGCCATGCTTGACCGCGCCAACTGTACGCGTGGGACCTGGCCTGACCCTGAAGGAAAACTTTCGGCGAAATTTTGCAATGCGGCAAGCACCAGCTCGGGCGCCAAGGTACTCGGCATTCCTGACACGACAGTCTCGGCGCTCGTGTTGATCTTGGCCTTGTCTTGGGCATTAGTCTGAAGGCGCGGCTGGGCCCACACACAAGAGCGCCCAAGAAATGCTGACGCTCAGCCAAACCTGATTGAATGCACTAGATCTCTTGGCTGGACAGAGGCGTTCCCCCTGAGCGCAAGGAGTTGGGGTTTTGGTTTGACAATATTTATGATCTAGGGAGTTATTGGGCTGGGAGATATCCAATCAGATTCAGCTGGAGTTTGGGGCTCAGGAGACAGACTTCTTTTCTTAGATAATTGGCAACTCACAGAGTACCTTGGGTTTGCAAGTACATAGTTTATATTAGGCATAGAACGCAATTCATGCGTTCAGAATTAACACCAACTTAAACTCATGAATTAGCTTAGTTAAGCACATGCTTTTTGTCACGAGATTTATAGGTGTCGTCACTGCCCACGCAACTAACAGTATCGTTTTGTTACGGGACACTTTTGGATACACATCGGATGTTGTCTGCACTGAAATACTGTCAGTTATCTGATGTTGTGAACTCTCAGAGAGTATCGATAAAACGTTTTCTCAAGATGGGTTAATCTTAGTACATACCATGACTACATTCAAATTATTACGCATCTGTATAGTGATGTGAGTTTAGTAAATGAGGACGCCTCTCTTGCAGCCAGTTGGCCCAAGGTGTATTATAGTGGAGCAGCGCACAAGCAACTCCATTTAACATGCATCTTTCCTCTTTAAAGACAACACCTGAAGTCGGCGCCTATTGCGAGGCAAAAGGAGAATCTGCTAACCATAGGTTACAGCTAGGGCGAAGCGACATTGTTAAGAAAGTCGCAGAGAAATAACAAGTAGTCATCATGCTGAAACCTCGACTCTCCAATCCATAGGGTTCAGAAGACTTCATTTCTTATTGTTGTTGTTCTCTTTCGTCGATGTTGTTGTGGCGCCTCCAAGCCGCTACATGTGAGACTCTGTTGCCCCTCTCCTGAAAGCCATCGACATAAGTACAAAGTCGGACCAGGCCACCGTTAATTCGAGTCGAGCTCGGACTCTTTGGATCAGATGGTACAAGGTGAGATTGTCCGAGCCATTCGATTTTGTTTATCGAAAATGTTCGACCATAAGGAAGCCACAGAAAACAAAAAGCAAGTGAAGTGAACGTCAAACGTCTCGGAGTGTGGGCGACTCCGTCCCTGTTTTTACGGCTCATATAAATCCGGACTCTGGTGTTTAAACTCCGTCCGTAACGCCCGTGTGGTGTTCCACGATTCTTTGCTGCTTCGTAGTGTTTGATAATTCGAACGTTCTGCTTTTGTTGACGTACGTATATCGTCGCGATAATCCTTGTCCAGTTGCATGTGGGTGGAATGTGTAGCTCTATCGCCTACTTCGTCGCGTTGCCACACTAAATGTGTGGCCGCGTTTCCAAATATCAGCAATTGCTTGAATTTCAATAGTTACAGGTAATGTAGGGTATGAAGCGCTTGGAAGGAGTGTTAGTTATCGCACTGGGTTTGTTGGATTAGCTGTATATGCAGAGCATATCGACGGAGGATCATATAAAGACAATCAAGAGACGCAGTTAGGATCACGACAGAAAGTAAGTACTCGCTTGAAACACGTAACTATTTTGTGCTTGGAATCGCTCCTTTCTATGACCAAAGTCCACGAACAGCTTTCTAGGCCTCAACGCCCAGCGCTAATACCTCGCTCCTCGTCGCCACGTAAAAGGGACTGTCTTTCCCAACAGCTTCTTCTTCCAGACGCAGGCCAGTCAACGCCAACTCCCGTCCCTTCTCCGGTTTCTCTAGACCAAACGCTTTACGCGCGGCCGCGATGTACATAGTAGACACTTCCCGGCCGCGGATGGCCTCCGCTTCGTAAGCGTCTAGGAGCCCCAGCATCATCTCAAACTCGTCATTCGGGTCCTCCGAAGCGGCCTCGGCGAAGCGCTCCAGTTGGCCCTTGATTTCCGTCCTCCGCGCCTCGCCGGCCTTGAAGCTGGCGGGGTTGCAGGCGGAGCAGTCGCAGACGAAGCCGTACCCGTGCTGCAGTGCGCTCTGCCGCGAATCCCGCAGGCCCAAGTGCTCGTCGAGGTACGAGATGGTTATCTCCTCGTCCTTGCCGATGTCCCTAGTCGCGTGGATGGTAAACGCATTCAGTGCCTGGTTGAAGTTCCCCTGAGAGTTGGGCACGCATGAGTGGTTGAGTCGCGCGACCTGAGGGAAGAGGGCTTGAATCTGGTTGCCGATGTTGAAATTGTTGTTGCGGAAGATGTTGAGGATTGTGTGATTGGAGACTGTCCTTCGTAGAGCAGACTTGCTCCGCCATATGGATTCTAGCCAGCTAAAAACACTTGATTTGCTGGGGTTGATTGACAGTGATAGGAGTGATTTCTGGCCAGCTGTTGAGAGAAGGTGAGCTTGTTGAAGAATAGAACCGCTATCTGATGATGAGATGGTGAGTAGAGCCTGGTCGGTGAGAATTCTTTGGCCTCTGGGAATGGACTTTGATGCAAACACACCGAGGCCCTTGCCGGTTGCTTGACGAATCGCAAACATGATGGGGAACTGTTCTCTGTCAATTAGCACTTTTGGTGGTAAAGGTCTGTTCCCCCTGACGGGGGAAAATATTTTGTTGGCTGCCCTGCGATAAGGCCCAAAGGGGCAAGGGGGCATCTGCGGAGATTGCCGCTTGTACGGGCGCCAGGACGCTAAGAGCCCTTCTTGTTGGCGTTTCAGAAGTAAATAGTGAAGATAACCATGTGTTGACAATCAGCTTCTGAGGTTTCTTTGAGTCTCTTTGACAGATGGAGTAGCATGCTGTCACAGAGGATATAAGTCTTTGATTGGTGTTCCCCACAATCAAGTAACAGTGTTCATTGCCCAGTATGCAAGTATGATAGCGTCGGTTGTTTCATTTCTTTGAGCAAAGGTTCGACACCTAGAGCGAAGGGTTGATACCCAAGCTTCTTGGGAGTTCATTTGCTTGGAAAATATGATAACAGGAAGATGTGAGGTTTTGACTCTTTGCATCTTTGTTTTATTTATGGAGCAAGTTCATGAAGGAGGACACTTATCATGACAGCAAGCTAACATTCTCATTGGTTATGACCAAATGGCAACCTGGTGCCGCAAAAGTTACAGGGTAGTGCCAATAAGTATTACCGTATCCTCTCAGTAGATTCGTACACCTCACTGACCAGGGGCTGCTGGATAGGGGCTAGCGGGCTGGCAGAAACAGGGATCTAGAAGTGGCAAATGCAGGGGTCAGTGAACGTCAGCAGCAAGTTTGGTGGCAAGGGTTAGGGTTAGAGGGGTGGGTGGGTGGCTAGGCTGGCTGACCGCCTTTCAAAATAGGCCTAGTGGGTGGTCTGTGCGCTGTACGAATCTGCTGAGAGGAAACGGTATCTTGGTCATGACACTGTGCTCTGTTAGAAATAATCTAACCAACAACTTGCCGACCCGAAAGTTAGGCAGCAACGCAACTTCCCATCACCATGGCCATCTAAATCGTCTCCGACTTGCACCTAGAGGCCTCGAAAGCCTACGACATCTTCGAAATTACCCCTCGAATACCTTATATAGGCCTCCTCGGCGATATAGGCACTATTGCAGCTCACAAAGATGATTGTCTTAGCTTCCTGACGCAGCAGCTCCGTCAGTTTCGCGCTGTACTATTTGTGCCTGGAAACCATGAGGCCTACCACTCCAGCTAGTCTGAAACACTTGAGATTCTTCGCGATTTCGAAGAAAAAACTAAAGGCGATACCTCTTTGGGAGAATTTGTCCTACTCGACCGCTCGAGCTTCAGGGTTCCAGACTCTAAGGTCGTCATCTTAGGCTGCAGCTTATTCTCCTTCATCCCGCCACAAAGTGCAGATTTGGTTAGCATGGGGCTCAACGATTTTGCCAGATAAATGACTGGGACGTTGGCATGCATGACGAGGCACACGCACGAGACCTTGCTTGGCTCAATGCTCAGGTTACAGAACTCGACCATTCTGATGTCGATATCATCTTCTCGCACTGGAGCCCTTCAAGAGATGGCCACTCTATTGATCCAAGGCATGCGCAAAGCCCAATTACCAGTGGCTTTGAGACAAATCTGTCCGGGGAAGTATGCTACAACAGCAGCAACGTTAAGACATGGGCATTTGGTCACACGCAATACAATTGCGGCTTCGAAGTGGAGCGAGAAGGTCACACCAAGCCTTTGAGACTAGTTGCAAACCAACGAGGATACTACTTCGCACAAGCCACAGGGTATGATGGGGACAAGGTCATTGAATCATGAAGAGACAGACTAGATTCAAGCAATACCGCCGTAGTCCCTTCGTGATCATGATCAAGGATAGGGACTGCAAGCAACGGTCGCGAAATGAGACAGGATAACAATGATAGAAACAGGTTTGCGCGCTGGCGGAAAGACAATCGTTTATAGAATGTCAAGATAGCTGAACCAGCAGAGACTAAGACGCTGCTTCCATCACTTCTCGGGTTTACCACCATGAGCATCAGCATCAGCGATGCAGAGTCCAATAAAAGCTGGCTGCACACTATCGAGACTGATCGGCCCATCTCTCGTCCAGGGCTTGTGCATCCAGGGCATCAGTGCGCTTTTTAGACGCCTAGGCTCGCGGACCGCAAGCGTTGATCTTAAAAACGAGGTCTGTGGGGGCGATTTACGGGACAGTTCCGTCTGGTATATCCCTTACTTTGATTACAGCAATCGGCATGTACAGGGATTAGGAACACGGATGTCGTGTATTTGTTTTTCCAGCGGTGTCATTTTATCCTTAGCTACCGCTCGGTAGTGATGTCTATCTGAGCCGTGTTTGTTGTACAAAAGGCGAGTCGGGAAGAGATAGAAGCTTGTGTTTAACGCCTGAAGACGCGCTGTCGATATTGAGGTTGAAATCGACATCGTGTTTCGACCATCAGTCAGACTGACATCACTTTAGTAATATTATTCTGACGCGGTAGGGCTGTCTATCCTGTAGATCGTCTTTGCTGTGTTGAAGTAGCCTTCATACTCAATGGTCTTTTCCTCTCCCTCAGCTTCGTAATGGTAATGTCCTCCAGCATTTTTTCCTGACGGAGAAAACGCATGCGTGTGCTCTATTCGCAAACGCATCTTGTTGCCTGGATCCGCGGAATGCAGTACAGACAAGCCTACGATGGGCGAGTCAAAGTCGTGAAAGGTCAGCCATTTTTCAACCTCCTTTCTGTTTTTGAAAGGAAGATCTTTCTCTGGAGGGAAATCGGGCATGATGTGATACGTCGCCTTTCCGGCTTTCACCACGAAAGCCCCGCCGAGGCTGATGGTCCTGTCGTTGCCATACGCCACATGAAGGCCTTTGCGGATGCACTCGGTGAAGCTCTTCTCGGGCCCCTTTCGCCCTTTCACCGTGATTTTGAGCACCGGTCCCGGCCCGCCCAGGGATCCGTACAAATTGACCATCAGCCCGCAGTCCACCGAGGGGCTCGTGTCGACGCGGACGGCCCCGGTGCCGCGCTCGATCTGGATGACCCGGCTCTGGTTGTCGACCTTGTCGATGCCGCCGGACCAGCTGAGGTTCGGCGCGAGCTCGCTGTTCTGCCCGATGACGTGGAATGGGCCGGCACCGGCGCCGATGAGGCTGCCTTTCTCGGGGCTCATCTCCATGTGCCTGCCGAGGTCGGGTATGGACCAGATGGTGTCCAGCCGGGGGCGGGGGAACAGGTTGGGCTGTCCGCCGACGTCCGCGATCTTCTCATCGCCTGACAGGCCCTCGGCGGCCAAGTGGAAGGGGGCGTTTCGCAGGTCGGGGCACCGGACGACACTGACGGATGCGTGCTCGTAGTTGGCGGCGAGAGGCGCTTTGAGTTGCTCTGCCAGCTCCTCTAGACTCGGCGGCGAAAGGGGGAATTTCTCCACGCGCATTTTGTAGCGTCTGATCGCTTGTGGATTGATGATTGAGAACTAGTATTGGTTTCGGGAAATGGTTATCGAGACTAAGTACGTTGCCGCGTCGTCAAAGGTTGGCTTCCTCCCGCGAAGCGTCTGAGACTGTTAGTTGAGCAAAGAATAGAGGAGATGTCTGTTTCGGACTTGGTGACGTGCTAAACGGTGTTCCAGAACGAATCCACCCCGCTTCCGGGCCGTGCAGCACACTACGCTAACAACAGGTATTCCGGGTTGCATGCGCAAAAGGATCTCAGGGCGGCAGAGAAGCAAACTTCCTACGTTGCGAAAAGAAAAGACGAAAAAAAAAACATGACACAGACGTTTGAGACGGCGGTGCCGACGGTCGCCACGATGCCTGCGGCTTTGCGGCCTAGGAACGTGGGGCACAGCGAGCTCTCAACTCTGGAGAGGATGCCAGCCGCTAGGACGTCCTTGTGGTTAAGGCTGGCGGCGTCGATGTAGACATGCTGACCTCGTTGACGGTCGGATACAAGGCGCGCGGGTATGTGCGGAAATTATAACACATATTCTGGAGCTGCCCAGTAAATCTCTGGATAGCATCGGGTTCCTGGAGTCGGAAGTCACCAAGGGCTTAAGCGCCGATATCAAGGTGGTGCGTGTTATAGCCTACCTATGCGGCGCACCGTCTTCGCCGAAGAGGTCCAGCGTTAATCAAGTACTGTACTAATTCATACGTGGCGCAGCGGAACAACAATGGCGCGGCATCTACATCCGTAGTTTGTTTGGTGTTGCTCGTGATCAGGCTCATAATAGCACATGCGAGTTCCGATCAAGTATTCCCCGAGCCATGCATGAGATTTGACCAAGTGCGACGGCAAGACGACGCTCGTTGTCTCGGAGACGACGTCCGCAGCCCGGTAGACAGCGACAGGACAGCATAGGTGAGGTTGAAGCTGTCAAGATGACTTCACATAACACTTAGCAGTGGCATTCTATTTCCCATTTAACTTTTTATGGAGTCAAGCATCTTTCACTCCGATTCTCCTTTGCCCTGTTGCGTACTTCAAATCATAATAGAAATCTTTCCCGGTTTGCTGCATCGAGACATACTCGTCTTCTGTAGTTCGCGGGAGGAGCGGTAAAAGGCCGTCAGTGTAGTGGACGAGTATTTCTAGATCAGATAGATGGCGTGACAGGGCTCCAACCCCAGAACATAATAATTTCCGCTGCTATCTGTTCACCGACTAATCAAACATTCTACGTCGTAAATACGACCAGTGATATGTCCTCATAAAAGTCACGTTGTACGGAAACTCGGAGAACCCCGATTGCCCCAGCCTGTGATTATGGGAATCTGGGTGGGCAAGTGGGTTTGAAGCTGATGTCGATACCACTTTGAGCAACTCAGCTCCATCTTTGCACGACAGTGGCTTGCGTCCTTGCGCCACACGGGTATTGCGGCAGACCTAGCTACCAGACCTAACTATGACGATGGATTTAATACGTGCAAGACCAGCTAAGCTCAAGCTAAATCAGTACAGATATGCTATTAGTGACTCAGCCTTAGCAACCTACAGTCATAATAAGAGAGCTCGAGAGCGCTAGCTTGCTACAAGTATGCTGAAATCCATCTACCGGCGTATTTGGAGCTGAAGCTATACTAGGTAATTAAATTTCTTGTAGGAATTCAGCTCAGTCTTAACTATTGGTGGCTTGCGTCCTTCCAGTGGCTTGCATCTGGCCGTACGACATCCCGTAATTCAATACACAAGGGACAAAGATTACAATATTAGATACTTAGACCTTAGGTATGAATTATTATAGGATCGGGCTGAACCGACTCAACCATATATGACTGAGTATATAACTGTTGTACGACAGCCAGAACTTGGAGTTAGGAAAGGTAGTCACAGAATAATACCTTGATTCACCCCCTACGTTTTGAGTAAATGCATGTACAGAGCCCATTCAACACTCTGAGATACTACCCAGAAGTACTCTATCAGTAGTATATATCTTCTGCCCCTCTTCTTTCTCTATATTACAATCAAACGAATAAAAAAAACAGTTGAAAGCGTCACATACCAAACAGCTACCATGGCGCCAATCATTACCTCCACCAGACAACCTTCTCTGAAACCAAACTTTCTAGACCTTCACAACACTCTCTCTGCGCTTCCCTATCATTTACAAACCCTATGGCTTTTTACATACAGTGACATCAGAACGATGCTCGTCCCGATCTTGGCCCTTGGCACCCTTACCGCCATCATCGGTAACCCGCTGACCACCACCGCCGCCTCGGCCCTCACCATATTTTCGAATCTCCCTCTGCTCCTCCTTTGGCTCTGGCTGAACATATTAGTTCTCTCCATTGCTAATCAGCGTGATCCAAGCGGCATCCTTGAGGACTCGATGAACAAGCCTTGGCGCCCGATTGCCTCGGGGCGAATCTCTGCTACAGAAGCTAAGCACCTGCTTCTTGGGATTATCCCATTAACGGTGGTACTCGGGATTAAGCTCGATGTGGGTTACGAGACGCTGGCCTGTATTTGTGCGAGCTCCTACTACAACGACCTAGGCGGCGCAGACGAGCACTTTCTGATCAGGCAATTCATCAATGGGTTGGCATATCCTGTGTACGGAGTTGCAGCCTTGAAGTTAGCGGCAGGCGCAGTCGACATCCTCCCTACAGCATATACGTGGTTGACTTTACTGGGTTTGGTCGTGGGCACAACGATCCAAATTCAGGATCTGAAGGACTACGAGGGGGATAAGGCACGCGAAAGACACACGTTTCCTGTGGTACTGGGGGATGGTTTCACGAGGGTGAGTGTCTGCATGGGCATACTCTTCTGGTCTTTCATCTGCCCGGCGTATTGGAACTCGTCAGTTCCTGCCCGTGCTGTTGTCTTCCTCTCCGGTATATTGGTAACGATTAGGATACTGTACGTCAGAGAGGCAAAGGCAGACCGCTTCTCGTTCATGATGTGGAGTTGGTGGGTGATGGGACTTTTTATGCTGCCTCTGACAAGTGTAAATTAAGTATACGTCAGTCACGGGATACATGTTTTACCGAAACATAGTCCTACTATCAGCCTCGTGAAGTTTCAGAGAGTATTACAATCATAGAACGATTATATACCACTCACCGATGTTAGAACCCACAGACTCCAGATTCGCTGCTCCACGTCTTCCATTTTGCCGTCTGTGGCCTGCTGCTGAACTTGGAACTGGTGTTCTATGTCTAGAAGATTGTATACAGGCCTTGCTTCTTCCCCCGGCTTCTATAATATGATCATGCTCAAAGGTTTTACGAAGCTCGATTGGGTCCAGACAGCTCCGCATCAAAATTTCCAGTAGCTTTCTGTTGGAAGGAGGTTTTTGCCAAATTCTCCTTATCAGACTAAACACCTAGCCTAGCGAACCCAACGGCGTCATGAGTAAACCAGTCAAAGAACCGGCTGTCGCCCCTGGTGACGGCTTGCCTTGTTACAAGCATGTCCACTTGACTTCATCACCTTTACAATGGTGCATTCACTGACTCGGCAACAGCGCCTTCCTCGTTGCCGCCTGGTCGTCGGGCTGCACATCTACCTCGGTCACCTCCTTGTTGTCCTCGGCGCTATCATGCAGATGGCAGCCCGGATCGAGGCTACCTTTACATACTCCTGTCTGTTCATCAGTTTCGCTACCTCTTGGCTCGGCAACTCGGACCCTCTGCTCATCAACGAGATTGCGCACTCGAAGCAACGCTTCATTGCGAACGCTCTGTTCATACTTGGTTATAAGTCTTCGGGTATCCAGTGTTTTCGCCCCTCCTGCTTATTGACAAATTTCAAGGGTACTTCGGACGTCACTGTTACGCAGTGCTCCACTGTCGTCACCATCTTCATCAACACCTTTGTCAACTTGCCTTCACTGGAAGTACTACATTGTCTGCATTTTGATGCTTGCTATTCTGTGGGACAGTATAAGAGCGATGCCGATCACAAGGTCTAATCAGAGCGAGATACTACTGAACAAAGTTTACTTATGGCTCAGGGACTGAGAAGGAAAATGTGCGGTAGGGAGAGCTATAACATCCAAAACAGTGCAGTCGTACATTTCAAGCATGTCTATCCTATAAATCCATTTATGGCACACATCATCGAAATATTGTCTGGTTGGGTGTACTCGATCCATGTCTTTCCGTCTTTTTGTAGTCAACCTTATCCCACGTTGAAATTGAATAATCATATTATAGGCCCCGAAGTTTTCAATTTGGGTATGGCAGCCTGCTCAACACAGTTGTGTTTTGTTTACTGGTCGGTTGATCGCCAAGTGCAAGTTCAAGTAAACGCTAGTTTGAATGGCAGAAATCACCGGCAAGTTATCCACCACAAGGCCTTTCCATACGGAGAGGGCTCGTTAGGCCCCCCTGACCCTTGTTCTTGTTGGACGGCCGGTTTCTTTGCCGTTGACACGCTATCTGCCTGGAGAAGGAGTATATCCGCTCCTACACCGACAATGACTGCGAAAAACTAGACATGACGGCGGCGACACTGAGGGCGTGCCGACCATGGGTTAGAGGGGCGTTTACATACCCACCCTCCACATAGTATCTCAAGCGCAATCCTTCGGGCTACGCGCTGAAGGACGCATCGTCCAGAGGGTGCCGGATCTGTGTTGCCGAGCTATTGGCTTCGCAGTATCTCATATCACAACCTCACTCAGCCCACGCCAAGCCAACAGGAACCATCCCCATAGCTCCACGGAAGCACCAACGACACGCGCAAGCCCCCACGAGGCCAGGAACTTGAGGGTAAGCCACCGCGAGGCGCTCTGGCCTTGGGGCCGATTCCAACGACATTTATTTGGCTGCGGAACCGACTAGGACAAGGCCCATCATCGTTGTTCCGAGTGTTGCGCTCTGGAAGAAAAAGGCGTTTGCTCCGCGCGACTGACGCAGGCTTGGGCAAATTACATTCATTTTTTCAGGGGAGGCTGCATGAGAAAATAGGCGCGAAGGATTCCGTCCCCTCAACGGACGAATCCTACGAGTGCTTGGTCGGTGCTTGGTCGGCGCTTATCAAGGCGGCGACAGCAGCAGGCAGTGGACGGCAGGTCCAGGATAAAACGGCGCCAGATGGGGCTTGGGATAACAGAGACTAACGAGGCAGACTTTTGATGAGCCGGGTCGTATATGCGGGAGTGACCTGGGCAAAGTGAGTTTGATGTCGGGATATGTGATGATGGATATTACCCTTGCCTCTTGCTCCTTGGCGAAGGCGAGGGAAGGTGGCGTGGGGATGTTCTTTCTCTCTTGAGACAAAAGCAAAAGAGCCTTGTACGGAAACGGCATCGTCCTGCTGCTTTACTGCGTTACAGAAGCCTGCGAGCTTTTCTCCAAGAGGCTATAGTCTCTCGCATAATTGCTTTTCGTTGCAGCTGCTCAAGCACCTCTGCATCCGTACGTAAGAGTCTCTCTAAATTCTACGCCCCTTTCCAGGTTCTACGAACGACTCTATTTTGATTTTTTATTTATTCTTATTTTTAGAAAAAAAAGCATTGTTTCATTATACAAATTGAGCATCTGAACGTGGAGGGTGAGCGGCTTCGGTCAGATATTATTGTGAACGAGATTGAAAGACACAATTTGGAATTAGGCGTTTGTCAAAATACTTCAGGAGCTCTCAGACACGACATCAGAATATGATTTCTTCGAGCGTTTCTCCGGCGGCTGTAGCTGGCACAAGCGCCTTAACGAGTTATCTGACCGAGACGATCAAACCTGCGTCTTCCACCAGGGCGGCCTACGACCAACTTCCTGTGCCGAGCACGGTAGCACATCGTAATAATATGAAAGAGCCATCTTCAAACATAGGATGGAAACCGGAGCTTGGTATGCAGTCCATCTCGCTTCCCCTTAGTCGGACGCGTCCGAATATGGTCACTCCGGGCGCTAGCATGTCAAAAGGCTCTCAATAGTAGCAGCACCAGCACCAGCATGTGTTGGGGTGATTTCTATCTTGATAGGGAAAAGCATCGATCTTGGTTTATCGTAGGCTCGATCTGACATCCCAGGCGCCGTTGCACATGAAACAAGCGCAAAGGAAGCCAGTCCTCAACACTGACGAATGGTACAAGTTCTGGATGGCGCTTACACTGTTCCGGTAGTTCTGGACCATCTGAAGTGGACGCAGAGAGATGCTTCGTGTGCTAGATGTGGCGTGGAATAACAAAGCCCAGCAAACGTTCTTCTCGCCTAGAACATGGCAGAGTAAAGGGGCCGGGCAAAGGGGCCGGGCCGCGACCCAGCTGCGCGCAGGCTGGAGGCGCGCGCATTAGAGCCGGGGGCCGGGGCATTCGTGTATCGGCGCAAGGCAGATAGATGGCCGGGATTGCATTCCGGACTGGGCAGGGTGGGCATATTACGTGCATGGGTAGGCAACTCCGAGCCGCTGGCGGCCAACGGCAGGGTGGTGGCCGGCCTCAATGGCTCCTGTGCATCACATGGCGCGCGCTCTGGCATCTGGCCAGACTTGTTGCCGGGCCAGGTGGCTGGATCCAGTACCGCTGGCCGCCTGCGATGGAGAGCGCTTGAGTAGACTGGAGAAGATAGGCTCATATTGCTCGGAAAATGTCGAGAGTCGAGACGCTGAGCGGTGCCGCGCGCGGAATGAAGCACGAAGAAAATCAAAGCATGCGAAGTTGAGGCCGAAAATAGAGGAGTTTTGGGAATGATGAGAAGGAAGCAGGCGAACGTCAATGGAATAAAATGGTGGTTAAATCCGGCAATGATACAGATGATGAAGGAAAAAGAGCAACTTGTCATCAGTTGCTTCTATTCTCGTCGCCCAAATTCCAGCCAGGAAGCCGAGAGCCCAGCGCTTTCCTTCCCTTTCTCCTTCGATCCCTAACAAGGCAGTTGCGTCGCGCCTTCGTCACCATCCCCGCCCTCGCATCTTTCCTTCCCTGTTCAGCTGTAATTGAGTCTCCCCTCGGCATCTCGTTCCGGCTCCATTTCGATCATAACCTGATTTTTTCCATCTGGTGTCTGACAAGCTTTTGTCAACGCCATCGGACCATTGACACTCCTGGCCTCCCCGGCATAACTTCTGTGTCTAATCACTGCAGTCCTCGGAAGTCACCTCGTCCAACCGAAACCCCGCTCCGCCTTGCCACCAAGTCATAACTGGGGCCGGTTCTCGTCACATCTTCCCAGCAGACGAGGCATCTGCAAGATCTGGTGGACGACGTAGGGATTTGCAGGTGAGAAAAGCGCCGTCGGCCAGCGTCCAATCACAGGAAGACGGCACTAATAATAGTTAGGTCATCGCGGAACGCCGCCCGAACGGCTGCCCCGGCGCCCCCATCTTCTCTTGTGATCCTACTGCCCGTCCTCTGCCCTTTACTGGCTACAGTGCATCCTTTCTAGCGCCCATAAGCAGCCCCATCAGACCCAGCGGCGGACAGCCCGCAACTGCACGACACCTCACCTCAACCCTCCCCCGGGAGCCAATCACGACTCCAATTCGACCTTCAGACCAAGCAATTGAGGCCTCTCTACGCCGGGCCACTGCCGTCTTGACTCTGGCCAGCTCAGGTAGCTTCGCCGTCGAGTTGCCTTGACTGCTTCGTCGCCTCGTCTGTTGCGTCCTGTCTTGGTCGAATCTCCTTCCGCCTGAGGTGGCTCTGCATTGCTCTCCACTTCCACAGCACATCACACCCACTTGGCCCTGCGAGTATTCGTAACCTTGGGGCTTGGGATACTTGACTTTCACTGGGCGATTACGACTTACTGGTACTGGATACCTGCGCCGACCATCCAATCCTAGTTGACGAAACGTCCGCACAAAAACACAACATCGTCATCGCAACACATAGTACACCTGTTACCTCATCCTGCCTTACCTGGCTTCGCTGCCCGATTACCTTGGATCAACTCTGTCCAAGACTCGCGTTCCATCTCACATCCTGGGCGAGAGGCCACGAGGCATCCACGATATTGAGACGGGATAAACGGTGATCCCAGCAACACACCAAACGCCAGCCGCTGTCTCCGGTTGACGCAGTCCAATTGGTTTCTTACCCCGGGCACCCGCGAACGGGCACAGAAAGAACCTGTGCCATCACAGCCAACGGGATTATCGGACAGCACAGTAAAGCTCAGCAAGAAAGCCAGCCGCTGTGTAAATCACAACCGTCCAAATTTGCCCGCTTTCTTTTGGCGTGCAACGAGCCGATTCGCCCACGAAGGGACAACACCAGAGGTAAATTAGCTGCAGCAACTGTTCGACCCCTGGTCCGTTTTGGCTTTTGTCTGCCCTGCCAGGCCCCGTCCCATCTCCGTCCAGTCTCTGTTTCGCTGTCTCCTGCAGCAGGCTCAGCACGCACTAAGGCAGTGAACACCACACACCACACGCGCCCACGCAGCGAATCGAATCGTCGCTTGTTTAGCGTGCACAACCAATCCCATCTCCTTCACCTGTTGCTTTCTTGCCGCTTTAGAGAAACCCCGGTCCATCTCGTCTCTCGACTTCCGCGTCCAGCCTTTGTTGCTCCCCACCACCACGCTCGCGGTGTTGCTCGTGTCTCCCTCTCCTCGACGCTCCCGCCGCGCGCCTCTGCTTCAATCTCGTTGGACCATCCGTATCCGCTGTCACCGACACATCACGACTCCTCCTGACCTTACAGGATCCTTTTCGCGCTACCGCAACCTTATGGTGTAGGCCTTGCTTGCTCCTTCGCTGCTGTTCCGGTTGAACCACCCCTGCCCCGCCTCTACAACAACTCGTCACCACACGCCCCTTTGCACCCCTCCCTGCTTTGCCCCTCCCGCGTCCAGCCTGCCGACTTGGTACAGACTCACATCCAGTCTGCCTGCTCGTCTTCCCGCCCAAGCTCGAAACTCGTCCTGGCAAATAGCACCAGTTTGCTATTACCCACTTGTTCAACCCCCCCAGCAACCCCAGACCAGACTTCCGGGAGCACATCAGCTTCCTAAACCTTCCATCTTCCTTGCCGCCGTTAGAGCTTAACCTCACACTGCAGTCCTCTTCCCGGGCAACTTACACTGCAACCACCCAAGCGCCCATCTCGTTCTCTCCGAAATAATATAACGCCCTCCCACCCTCATAACTGCCGATTATTTCTCTCCCTTCTCCCTCCCCAGGCGATTTGTCTCTGCAGCTTGTAGGCAGCTTGACTTCCCCTCTCCTCAAGTCAGAGTCATTTAGTTGACTGGACATATAGTCCTCCTTCTTGCATACATTCGCTACCACCTTGCCTTTCTTTCGCCTCTTCCGTCCCGACTCATCATGCCTGCCAACAGACCCAAGTTGGCCCAACTGGCCACGCCCGTCACCAGCACCTTTCCCTCGGAGACTATCTTCTCTGCCTCGACTCCATTATCTGCGAGGCCTATGTCTTGCAAGGACCTCCCCATCAAGACGCCCATCAGCCCGCCTACTGCCTACACGGACTTCCTCAAGCACATGTCTCTCAACTCCCCAGCTGGCTTCAAGCCTTCAGCATCTGGTGCGACCACGCCCGAGTCTACGCCAGACTCGTTACCTTCGACTGCAACCAGCGAGCAAACAGACGTCTCTTGCAAGTGTGAACACGAGCACAAGACCCCGGTCACTGCACCACCTGCCCCGCGAAGCCCGTTCACACAACTGCCAATGTCAGCACCTCCCACCGGTGCAAACTCTTTCCCCAGCCTCAAGATCCCGCCCTCGCCAGCGGTATCACATATGGACTCACCTATGAGCGCGCGGTCGCCATTCAGCGCCAGATCCATTCATTCGGCGTTCGACTGGGACGCAGCTCTCAGAGCCAAAAGATTGAACGACGCCAAGAAGCCTTCTAGGACGAGTGTACGTCACATTCGCGAAGTTGTCACGCGAACGGTGACTTATACGCCAAGGATGAATCCCGCGCCAAAGGGCAAGAGGAGGAAGGTGGAATGAATATCTGGCGCGAAAGCAATCTGTTCGACTCTACCAAACTAACACACCATCGGCTTTACATGTGCTGATCTTTATTTTGTTCTACCATCACGGTCGTCACCAAATCGACACCCACCCCCTTACACCATCTGATGACCAAAGGCCCAGTGCCCCAAAAAAGACAAGGATGATATGTGACGAAGCAGGCTCTTCTACGGAGGGACATTTTACCATGACATGATTTTATGCAAAGCAAACAAGCACACGCCATCGGCGCACACCATGGGATGAAAGGCGAACACAAAGGGCGGGATATGCGATTGGTTCAACGGGATGGGACATCTTGCGAAGAAAGGAGGAAAGCGACTTGGATTTTTGTTTCAACCCATCTACTAGTCCCCCGATTGGGAAGGGGGACCTACCGGAGTACTTTGGCGTCTCTACGATGCTCATGTTCGATACCAGGAACCATTTGGGTGGACCGACTTGATTATTGATCCGGGGAGGTCGGAATACGTTCTGTTTCAGACACTTGGGAGGGGAGAGAAGGATGAGCTTAACCAAAGAGCAATATCAACCAGTTAACTACCTAGTACACAGCAAGCCAAGGTAGCCTAATATCAGCATACTGTGTATATCTGGAAAACGAGTCTCGGAAGACATCACTTGACCTCACCGCAAGAACCCTGGGAAGGTGTGGGCATGTTTATTTGTTTACCGTTTCACAGACAGCACTCTCGTGCAGCGCGGCCGTTGATGCGGCCTGCGCCACGGGTTTTGTTGTGGCCCCGCAAGAAAGGAAATGGAGAACAAGAGGAGGGGGGTGAGAAAGAGGAAGAAAAAAAAAAAAAGGTCACGATAGTAGGTCGCAGACGGAGTCCACCGAGGAACAGGCAGAGACGGTGGGGATAGACAGACAGACGACTGCCAAGCAACGGCGTGAACGAACGAATGGAAAAGAAGGATATTTCCCCTAGAAAAAATATAAAAAAATGGGTTTTCTGCATAGAGATGACTAGGTCGCGACTTTTTTTTTTTTTTTCCTTGCGCAGAGAGCCGTGACAAACAGCCTACAAGGGATACTCAACGACACGCCAGGTAGCCCGGCATCGATGCGATAGCTGAGGAAAGGGGGGGAGGGCAAAAGTCTCAAGGCATACACGCCAGACCGACTTCTCAGCTCCTCCTCGTCCGCCTCGATTCCCGCTGTAAAGGATAAAGGATGGGTTGGCATACCATCCCGTTGCCCTCCCCTCCCCTCCCTTCATATCTATCCGCCAAGCAGGGACGCCATGAGGCATCTATGCAATAATGGTCGATCTATGAATGGCTGTGCAAAAAACCTGGCCTTGCGGTGCAGTCGAACTGGAGGGGGTAGAGGAGGGGGGCTTGATGAGGGCTAGATAGCAACAAGCAGCCGCGTGTGACTGGATGAGTAGCAGGGATTGTCCGGGGGTGGTGCACATTGTGCCCCCCAAGCCCCGAGAGTGACCACTATAGAGCCTGGCGCCGTGGTCCCTCCTCCGTGCTGCTAGCTGTTGCAGCGTGCTGGCGTTGCACTCACGATGGGTGCTCTGCGTGACGACTAAAGTGTAGAAACGACGGAACCCATGTCCCATGTTTCCGCTCCAAGCTCTTCCTTCCTCCTGGGTGGTCCGCTTGGTCTTCTCCATCACCATTGCGGGACCGGAGCAAGGATCGATTGAGGGTACATCATGGAATGCGTACACACCCCTTCACGGCGCGAACGAGCACGCACGCGCGTTGTTGCTACTGCGTTTCCCAGAACCCGACGCCCCGCCGTTTCGCGATTGAGATCGAAGATACTCCGCTCTCCGGTGCCGTGATGGGACACAGTCAACAATCGAGAGCGTGTCGACGCAGCAGGGAAAGGTACCCAGCAGGCGCGAAAGTCCAGTAAGAGAGAGGAGGGGGAGGAGTCGAACGGAGTGGCTGGCAAAAGCGGCCTGAAGCGCTATGCCGGATCCGGGCATGGCACGACCCGGAATCCCGGGCGCTGCATGGGGGGTGGGTGGGTGGTCGCGTACGGAGCGAAGCCGTAAAAAAGCCACCCCCAGTCACCTCCCTTTGCTAAGCGCCTGTCCTCAGAGGCCCCCGGGGCCTGATTGGCCGGAGGTCGGGAGCAGGGGTGCCGCGGTGTCCCGGTTGCCGTCAGGACTATCACCAACGGCCGGCATAGAGGCTCTGGATTGGTCGAGCCGTTAAGCGCCGGCGTGCTGGTGTGGGGATTATGGTGCGCAGGGCCAGGCGAAGCGTTGTAACTGTGTTTTTTAACCCTTGGTGCAGAGTCACCCGTTGCAGGAATCAAAGTCGAGTCACTCGGAGAGCCCTGATGCATGTCGTTTGGTTTCTGTTCTGGCGGATGAGCTAGGATGCGTTCCTAGCGGAGAGGTGAGAGATGTGATGGCATGAGATAGGGCAGGTCTGAGAGCCTGGGAGAAGCATGATGCCGGTCCTTCTTCGTTCCGGTTGCCCTGCTAGCAACATCGATGCGTCCGAGTCGGTTGGTGGCTGTCGGCTCCTCTCATCTAGCGGTGAAGAGATTCGAGGGAACCATCAAATGGGCTTTTAGACGGCATTCTCCTTCCGGATATTAGTTGCTATGTAGAACGCATGCCTGGGCCTCATTAGCCCATGCACGCAGTAACCAAACCGCCGGACCAACCATGGGTCTGACAAAATCCCTCCCCAAAGATGAGGCACTGATGTTGCTCCTCTCACAGCAATGCCGCCGTGGTTCTGGGCAAGCGTGTGGCTTCCGTCGTCGGCGAACGTTGGATGAGGCCATATCCCCGTCCTGATTCCGACGCTCAGCACAACAGGAGTTTCCAGTCAATTTCCTTTGAGCTCTAGCCGCAATATCATCTATGATTGGCCCCGCGCAATTGGCTGCATGGTATTCGAAAATCTCCGACCCAAAACAGAACCCTGTAGCTCCCAGTGCCGCTTATGACTGGATGTCTCCAAATCTGATGCCAGATTTAGCATCCCTCCCCCGCGCCTCGGTTTCTAAACCCTGGCTTCCCTGAAACCAAAGCTAAGGACTCCGATGGTCCGTCAAATGTTTAGATTGAAACCAGGTTTCGAGACTACCAATCATGAACAAGGTATGGCCATCTAGGTAGAGCGGCTGCCAGGCTCTGTTTTGTTGACCGGTAATATAGACAGAGCATAGGGACAGCTTCCGGGGGAAGCTCCGCTGTTTCAAAGTCTTCTTTCGTTCTTCCACGGGCGGGCTTCCATGGAAGTCAAAGTAAACGGAGATCGCTTCCTATTTTTGGCAACACCAAAGGTCGTATTTCGGTTATCCGCTCGTAAGATGAGCTCTCCTGAACCAGGTATGTTAGCACCGGACACTGCGAGGATGTCCAATATCAAGGTAACCATAGCTTCAAAGCGTTGCTGGCGTAAGCCGTTTATTGATGGGTCCCGGGACATTGATCTCGCTACTGCAATGGCCTTCCCGTCGTTGCAAGCATCAAGTTGGCAATCTCCGCTTCCTGTAATACCATGCAATATCCCGTACGATATAGCCATCATGGGGGCGAGCAAGAGATACTCTGACTGTTCAGTTGATAAGAGCCCTCAGTCGACTGCCTTGACTTCCTTGGCCACAGCGTTGCAAAGTACCACCTTCACGCCTGCGCCCGTAAGGACATGGATCCATAATCTCTGCGTGTCGCTGAGCCGGTCATTGGCACTTTTGACCTCGGCGAACATACATTCCTTTTCCGGCTCCGTGCGCCAGAGTATCAGGTCTGGCAAGCCTCCGCCCCGCTGCCGGTATTCTTGCGCCATCACTTTGCAGAGGGCGGCTAGTGCGCCGCCGTTGAAGCACCCGACAAGCTCGATAAGATCCTCGACGTCGTAATCCCAGTTGAGACCGATGACACAGGTGCGCCGTTCGCGTTCTCGGGCATCAACCTCGCGGATGATTCTTTCTGCCCCTCCATTTGCAATCTCGACCAGCCGATGGTTGATCTCGGACATGCGCGTTGTGTAGAACGAGTCAGTGTGAAGGTCCAGCGGGCATGTCTGATATGCCGTTTGAAATACGTTCGGAATGTAAAGAAACAGAATGTCGTAAAGTAGGTAAGCGAATAAAGTGCGGACGATGCCTCCCTCAGCGTGGTAGCCCTTGTACCCCTGGCTACGATACCAACTGAGGCACATCTCCTCAACACTGCATTCGCCGCCGTCTTCTAACTCATCAACCCAAATTGTTTTTGTGCTTGCTTGACGACCGTTTTTGCCTTGTCGGTCATCTTTCTTCAATTGAATGCCCTCTACCGTGTGTTCAATGGGCTTCTGAAGACGAACGTGCCCGAAATCATGCTGTAGACGACGAGGTATACGCAGTTGCTTCTCGAGCTTGATAAGACGCTTCTGCAAATCATAGTGGTATATCAGATGGCAGTCTTTATCTTCAAGGCCAGTTTCGCATGTGGTCGCGGCGATTCGCTTCCAGTGCTTCTTCTGAATGTCAGGATCAGCAGCCACAGCGTTGCTGTCGAGTGCGTGCATGTAATGCTCCTCGAGTAGGGCTTTGCGCTGGTACCAACTGCCTCGTCGCGATGGGTGGAACAAATGCTGATCCAGAAGCTCGGCGAGGATATGATGCTCGCGTTTGTGATCCTTCAACCGCCCAAATACAAACGCAGCTTTGTGAACGATACGGGTATATGAGTGGACAGGCGTGAATCTTCTCAGGTAAGCACCCTCGCCCTCCTCATACACTCGCTTTTCCTTTTCCTCCTCTTCAGCCAAAAGGGCTTTCCATCGAGGGTATACTCGATCGAAGATGTCCACGACTTTGCGAAACCCTCCTTCGCCCGGTGGCCCATTGAACTCCAGAATCTGATCAACTTCGGCTTCCACTCGGATTGCTGATTCGAATTCGAGCACATGTCTGCGAGTAGCAAAGATATTTGAGCTTCGGCAAACGATGTACTCGGGGTAGTTGCGCCGTGCAATACTGGCGAGAATGATCGCCGTGAGGGACTTTTCAGTCCACTCGGTGGAGCGATAGAAGACCAGATGCACCCTCTCGAAGAGTTTGTATGTCAGCGGCGAAAGCCTGACGCATGGTCCAGTGATGTCTCTGATCTTTTGCAGAAAATGCTGTGTCTGATTTGAGTCTTGTCGGCTCAGCTGTGGGGGCGTATCATGGCGATCTCTCATCGAGCCTCGAGCTGTCTGGGATTCGCCGCTGCCAGATCTCTGAAGCCCATGCGCAAAGAGACCGGTCTGCTGATAGCCTGTTCGGCAAAGCGCTCTTGCCAGATCGGCCTTGTTCCGACCCTGGAATTTGGCCTCTCTAGCAAGGTCTTTGAGCTCGTCCAGACTTAGTAATGAAGAAGCTTCCTCAATGGTGGTGATGTGTTCTTCAGAAGCATCGGCAAAGGTAAATGTGTCGCCCAAGCTGAACTCTTCCAGCTCAACTCCCTCGACCGGGTTGCTCTCCTTTGCGATCTCAACTTCTGGAAGATCTCTCACTTTCTGGAGTGATTCGATGACCGCGTGCGGGTCCGAGATATCACTGTAATAGCCAAGTCGGTCTTGACGGTGCCAAGCTGATGTCTTACGTAGGAATAGTCGCACGTAACTGGCGAAAGCATTAGCCAAAAAAAGAAAGCAGCGAGCTTTGAGCCTAACCCACAGATACTGGGACTCATAGTTGAGGCTCTTCCACTGCTCGAAAACGTGACGTTCCTTGGCGTCAAACAGGTGAGATTCGTCTGCCAAGACGGTGTTCAATGCGAGATTGAACGCATCCACGTAAATGGAACTTTTGCCTCGGATCCATTGGTGGTTCGCTGTGGCTGGTGTTTCATCACTAGGATCGCTGGCCTGGGAACTCTTCATAAACTCGTACTCCTCAATCGCATCCTTGTCTGCTTGGATAGGCGGCAGAGTACTCTCGATGTCGGTCTGTCGGATTCGGCGATCATCTTTGTCGTCCTCATCAGAAACTTCGTTGACAGTAAGTCCAGAGGTATCAGCATCCTCGTCGGCGGATTTGATGTCATGTTCATCATCGTCACAGTCGCTATCCTGGATCTCCACCTTCACTTTCTTGGCAGGCCTTTCACCAAGCGGCGATGGCCTCGTAGGAGATCTCGAGGGGGTCTGCGGCCTCGGGCGCGGCAGCCGCTGTACAAAGGCGTCCATCATTGAGGTCAGAAAAGTCCGACATCGTAAAGAGATGGCCCTTTGTACTAGTGCACGGCAGTCGAGACGTCAGAGTAGTGAGTTTCGCCTTGGTGGCGTCAGCGATGGAGACGCGAAGAGGACAGGCAGCCGCGGAAGGGAAAGCGCACCAGGCAACACGACGTCAGGTGACCTCGCGTAAATGAGTTTCGATACTGGCTGACTTCCAACCACCGATGGCGAGCAGGAACCATCATAGTCCAGCTTCGCTGTTGCAATCAATTGCTAGACATTGAAGTACATGCTTCATTTTCAGCCCCTCAGAAGTCTCCTTGTTGCATTGACTGTTAACAGATCCTTCAAACCTGTTCTCCGTCGGCGCATATCACGTTTCCACTCAAAGCTTAGCCTTTGTCTGCTGTGCCATCCTGGCGCAAAACCCACAGCCAGCAAGAATCGCCGACTTTCCAACGGGTCGCAATCAAGCTCTTGCCTAGACAGCTTGCCCGCTGCACCTACTTAACCAGCGACAAGGTTGTCTAAGCTAGCCATATAATTGCATATGACAACCATTGAATAGCGAATTCCCCCCACCCCCCTACACAATGTCTGATCCAACAACCACAACAGAACCAACCCCGCAGGAGACCGCAGCGCCGACAACATCAGAACCCACGATGGCGCCCGCGTCCGTGACCACATCGGCCGATGCCGTCAGTCGCGACGTCGCCATGATGGATGCCGTTGAGCCGCCATCTGTAAGACCGTCTGCGACTCACCCCGCCTCCGCAACAGTTGCGCTAACATGATCCTCAGTCTCCCGCCCCGATCCCGCAGGCAGCCCCGAGCGCTCCCAGCCCTGCTCCCGGCCGAACAGGCACCCCCAGCCGTAACCTTAACGGCGAGGCCAGCTCTCGCGCTGGTTCTGTTCACCCCGACGCCCACCCTACGAATATCCCCAACCAGGCTGTCGAGCACGGTGACCCTGCTCGGATGTACATAAACAGCACCGTGACCGCCGTTCTCCTGGAGGGCATGAAGATCATAGGAAAGAACCAGTATGTGTGCTACGGCTATTAACAGGACCCCGGAAGCGATTGAGGCTAACGTTGTGTGTTTCTCTAGGCCCAAAAACCCTCTCAAGGTCCTGGGTGAGTTCCTCCTCGAGGAATCCCGTAAGCGAAACGAGCCTTCTGGCTGAATAACCCACAGGCATGGGTTTGTTTTGTCATACACGCATCAGGAGGAACGCGAGAGCCGAGCTTGATTGGTATACATAGATGTTCAATGGGACTGGGCTTTTCGCATTTCAGTGGCTTTTAAGCTTGGCGTTCCAGGAGGTAGAAAAGTCTTAGCAGGTCTTTCCCAAAGACAACGCTTTAGGAGCATACGAGACGAATTGATACCACGGTTCTTCATAACTTTTGATTCATCATAAAAAACGCACAAAGACAAACGCTTGTGTTGCCGTGGAAGGGATTTCCTCTTCTTTTTTTTGGAATGATTTGTCTACTTCTTTCAAGTGACATGGGAAGAAAAAAAAACTTTTGGTGTTTTCATTCCTCCTACTCCACGGCTGAACCATGCGGCCACCGGGCCCTAGAGAGCTGGCATCGGAGCTCTAAATGCACTTTCCTAATACCCCAACTCCATGACCTAGAATCCACCGCGTCAATGCGACGACCGTTCCATTCGTAGTAGCGACAAGGGCGCGCTTAAGAGACGATGGTGGAGGCGGTGGCGGACTCGTATCTCCAGGTGGGGGGGAGGACACCGACGGTCTTGTAGTAGCGGGCGAGGCGGTGGATACGGGACTCGATGAGAATGAGGCGGAACTTGGAGTCCTTGTCCTTGCGGTTGCGCTCGAGGTGCTTGCGGACGGCAACGGCCTGGGTCTCGTGGTCAGCATTTCCGTCCTCCTCTTGTAGGGTTCCAAACGGCTTGTAATCCAGGCGGCGGCAGAACGTACCTTCTTGATGAGCATGTACAGGTCCTCAGGGATATCGGGGGCAAGGCCTGTTCATCATCTCTCTGTCAGCCTAGACCAAGCAGAGGCGCATTAAATGCGGTAAAGAGGATTTCTCCTCGCGGACGAATTGCGTATTCTCGACATTGAATGTCGCCGCGTCGTTTATTCAGTGAACTGGGATCGTACCGTTGGACTTGAGGATGCGGAGGATACGGTTGCCTGGAGCGGGAAAAACGTCAGTCGCAAGTTCTTCAACAAAAAAACCTGTCTATCAATTGCTGAAATTCTTTTCTCATTGAACTTACCGGTGACAACGCGGACCTGGGCAACGCCGTGGGAGTCACGGAGGATGACACCGATCTGAGAAGGGGTAGCACCCTTCTTGGCCAGCTTGCAGATCTGGTCAACGACCTGCTCGGGGGTGGTCTTGAGCCACGAGGGGGGGTTGCGCGAGTAGGGGATCGCCGAGGCGGAGATACCCTTTCCCTTGGAGTGAAGACGGCCCATTTTGACGGTGTTGGTGGTTGTTGTCGGCTGGAGACGAGGGGGTCAGTCGGTCGGTCGCTGGTCGGGTTTGGAAAAAGGGAAGGGAAAAAAGTTCACGATCGGAAAAGCGATATGTTGCGAGGCGCTCCGTTCGGGCGGTGCGGGTGGATTGTGCGAGGCCGGTGAATCCTCGCTTAATTAGGGCACCTCAGCGCTGGACTGGTGCCTTCTTCGCTCTCTCTCCTTGTCTGGCCAGAGATTGGTCGAGAAAAATTTCGGGCGGGAGACCCATCGGGGTGGATTTGTGGGTCGTGCATGGAAGCCTCTTCTCTGGTCCGTGCGTCGCTTTTGCTTACCTTAACCTTCGCGAGCTCGAAGATTTTCTCTTTGCTCCCTCAACTTCATTTCTTTGCAGGAGCTGAAGATTGCTGCACATGCACGAATGCCATCGTGTCGCGGCGGCTGTTTGCGCCAGCTCTCTCAGGTAAGCCATCTTCGTCTACACTATCATGTTTCCCCTCGCATCAAATGATGATCCTCCACATTACACTTTTTTCTGGTACCTCTTATTTTAAAGTCTTCGGGCTTAATGAATGAAACGGACTTCTGACACTTGCACCTTCATCAACACTATACGCTCGCTGCTGTCTGTCGGACGAGAAGCTAACAACATCTCAAAGGTCACACTTCTCCTTAGATGACTAACGGTTATGGAATCACGCGTCAAGTGATGCTGAATTTGGGTTCCATTGAACAGAGGTCACTGGTGGTAATGCGGCTTGAAAGGACAGCAAATAGCAAATCGATATCATTACTCACAAACCAATCTTCCTTCGTACTATGCCGTTTGACTCTGACTCTTTGGTGCATGCCATGCATTCCTCGTTCTCTGAAAAAGCAACATTCGGTTGGTCACCCCATGTAGCGGAAATCTGTCGATTCATACATGACTGTGAAGCATAGGCTGTACTCACAGCTTTAAGCGGGAGGAATGCGTTATATAAAGTCACCTGGCTTTCATTCGTGACCATCACGCTGGCTGCAGAGTGCACCCGTAAGTAGATCTAATTCGAGCGACTGAAAGAAGACTCCATGCCTGGCTCGTCTCGCCACGGAATTATGATACAGCATTTTGGTTGGTTACAAGGCAGTCAGCAGACGACTAGCCCGAAATTTCTTTTCCGCCGAGCCCTGCCCTTACGATAGATACCTGTGTATGGCTTCTTCTGTTTCCCCCACCGCTATCCGCCAAAAGCAATTACCAAGCACCGACCTCGAAGTTCTCCTGTAAGATGATTAGTAAGCTGAAGTCGGACACAGATAACAAAGGGCATTTACCTCAGGGAAATAGGTTGTGACGACAGTTCTGTCGGCAAATTTGCGTCCTGCAAGCGCTTTAAGCGCTTTGTTTGCGGCCTCCTTCGTTTCAAATTTGACAAAGATCTTGCCCACACCAGCAGACTGCCTGCTTCCTCCGACTGGCCGAGGAATCTTGATGTCGAGAACGGTACCAAATTTGGCGCACTCTTCTTGGACGTCTTCCTTGATTTCTGGGAGGTGTCAGCATAGGCCGCGTTTCGACCAGGGAGTGTCGTTCCCTTACCTTCATAGTCGTCATTGTCCATCAGTTCCTCGGGTGTCACCATGTTGAGAAGTTGCAAAACACGGGTCTCCTCAGAGTCTGTTGAAGTCGTTCCCGCCAGCATAGACATGGCGGCAACGCCCATCTCTACTCCGGCTACTTGGGTAACACCCACGCTGGCCTTCTGAACCTTGAGCCTCTTGTCGCCGAGGTCCATACCGTTGAGACCCTGGATGGCAACGTCTGTGGCTGCGGGATCAACATACTCGCAGAACGCAATGCCCTGTGCAGTGGGTTAGTGTGAGCTGTAGCAACCCGGAATACAATATCTTACTCGAGACTCTTCCGTACTCTTGTCACGAACAAGCACAAACGCCTTGAGTTCGCCAAAGGACACAAGAAGCTCTGAAACTTGCTCCTCGGAGAGGTAGACGGGCATGTTGGCAACACTAATCTTGTTGGGCGTATCGACGACGATGTTGGACACGACGCCCGGCTCGTAAGGGACATCGTCGACCACAGCCGGGACGATGTAGTCCTTTGGCCGGCGGATGACCAGACCCTGGTCGGCTGCTGCTCCATTTGTGGCATCTTCGGCCTCCATTGAGATTCCGTCGAGAGCCAGCGCCACGGTGGCTTCGGATGCGTTTCTAAACTCGACAACGGCGAACGAGTGGTCCTTAGAAACCTGACAACTAGTACAGGGATCGGTGCTCTCGATGATGTTCAGTCCATTCAGCTGCAAGTTGAAGAAGTTCTGGATGCTTTCCTCGGTCGCGGAAGGAGGGAGGTTGTTGATGAGCAGTCGCTTGGCCTGACGCGAGTTGCTAGGCTTCAGCGCAGCGCTGTTGACTTGACCACCGGGCTGATTCATGATGGCCTGGAGCTTGCTCGGATCCATAGGCTGCTGGCGGGGAGCGCCGGGCAGAGGGAACATGCCTGACAGCTTGGCTTGTTCAGCAGTGACATTCTCATAACCAGGGGGTTTGATGTCCCACTGAGTCAAACGTCGCTTGCGCTCCAGGACTGACGTGACGTCGGTCAAATCAGGCGTGGGTTCCCTCTTCTTTGGAGGGGGCGTCGCGCTCCGCTGGCGTTCGCGGCGGCCAAAGCCGGGATCCTCGTTCCTGTCTCGTCCGCCCCGGCGTCTGTCGTCATACGGGTCGCGGTCTCTCCGAGGACGGTCATCGTCGTCTCTTCTGGCATCGCGCCTGGTCGATGCACGGTCGCGATCCCATTCTCGGTCACCTCCACGTCTATCGCGTCCAGAGTATCGATCCTCTCGCTCGCGCTCGCGATGACTGCGGCTGGTCGCATAGCTGTCCTCGTCCTCGCGACGTCTGGAGCTTCGGTCGTAGGGCGAACGGGAGCGTCTTCGGTCTCGGTGTCTGTCTCGATCACCGCGTCTATCATCGCGATCCCTCTGCATCATCAATTAGCGGCCATATCGGTGGCAAGACGCGGTGGGCAAGGCTTACCGGGTAGTCGCGAGATCCCTTTCCTCGTCCTTCTTCCCAAGAGGCAGATGTTAGAGCCAGGGGCAAACTGGTTGCGTTATGCGGTTTGAAAACACTTACCACGAGAATAGCCGTCGCCGTTCATGATTGCGGATGCTTGTGGCGTAACAAGGCTAATCTTGGATGATGGATAGTCAAGACTGGAGAGGGTGGTTGACAATGGAGATGAAGATTGCCGCGTGAGGCAAAGGCGCAGTCGTGCTTTCCACTGGCGCGAGGCTGGAACTTTTTTTCCCGGGAGAGGTCAAGCTCTGAAACCACAGCGTGATTGGCCAATAGCTCTGTGGAGAGCGGGTTGTCCAAACTCCAGGGCCCCGCCTGCGGTACGCCAAACCACGCTAAGGGGAGCCATGTTTCTTTAGTCAGCCGAGGGCGAGCCATTGCACCTCAAATGCTGTCTTTCTTTTTTCGAGCTGTCTTTCGCAAGTATGTGGTCCATTAGCAGCACTCAACCTCGATACGACGATTTGTCACAACATAGTATAATGTACGAGCCCTGAAGCCATCGTAGACGATAGTCACGCCTTTTCACAACATGTCGTCTCATTTCCATCAGACTGGGACGCTTACTGGCTTATCGCGATTGGACAGATGAACCATGAGTGTATTACCTCTTCCTGTCTTGTGTTCATTGATTAGCGGTGTTCAGGTAGTAGTCATTGATGTCATTCCCCTTAGGTCTGTGTGCACGTGTTGGCCGCAGTAGCAGCATCTATTTGGGCTGCCCATACATACTTCGCATGCGGCATTTGAAGGATCGCTCGCTCAGATTTATAGCCGCTGACTGCTCAGCTCCTAATGTTTATATGATTCCCCGAAAGTATCAGAATCCCGTCAGCTACCGCACGTTTTGAACTCGTTCCGTGCAAAAATGAGGATATCGTAGCTCAATCGCTAAGCGCTTTGCTTTTTGCATCCCACCCTCATCACATTCATCAGAAGCCTATGCATGTGCTTGCCTGTCGCCTTTTGATAAGGGGTCCGCTCCAGAAATATCTCCCAAGGGTGGCTCAAGCTTCAAAGAACCTAGCTCGGGGTTCAAGACCAGGCCTGATCGCTCGCATTGGCGGTGCTTCACTGAAAGAGGTGCGTTCTCTGCTTACCTAAGGTAACGAGTATCCGGTGCTGCGTCTTAATGTCTAGCATTCCAAAACATGGCCTTTGTTCACACGTAGCTGCATCGGTCTGATCTTCGGGAGATTGAGGATGCAGCCATGCACTTGACATCATTGAAGATGTTGTTCCGCCGGTTTGAACTTGACTGCTGTACCGTTGCACCAATGCTCGACATTGCCATCCGGCCTCGGCCCGTCGCAAAGATACCCAGATTAGAGTCGATGTCGGCGTCTGAGAGAGTACCATCGCCGCCTCCAGCCTGCATGTTGTCTCAGCTGGGCTTTGCCACACGTGGTCTGGTGTTTAGCCTTAGTGCAGCACTAAAACCACCATAACGCTCTGGCGCCTGCAAAGGTATGTCCGGCTTCAACACACCCCAATTGGGGCGCCACTCTTTTCTCCTTTCAAGTTGGATGTTTGCTCTATCAACCCCGACAGCGAAGCGAAGCCGTTTTGCAGGGCTGTGTATACTGAGGCCATCACAGCTTAAACGCTTCGTCACATTCTAAGTAATGCTTAACTAGGTTGATATGATACCAAGCGAGGGCTTTCTATCATCTACAATCATGCTGAGACCAGTCTCGGGTCTGTCTGGCGGATTGGCCTTGCCCCACGGGCCGCCGGGCCGGACTCATGGCAACAGATCTATTCAGGGTTCATACCTACCCGCGAATACCTTCCGCTTCCTCAGCTGGGCGCCATTTAGGGTGTGCGCCACCAAACATTGTTTCATCCGCGGGTCGAGAACCTCCCGAAGCACGATGGTAACCAAGTGTTTGGACGCCAAGGCCCCCCTACACTCCCTGTGGAAGTCATCCCATCTCGTCCTCCACTTCCTTTCTCAGCGGACTAAGATGAACATGTAATAATGACCCGACGATCTGGTAATTGAGGCTACCCAGCTGCAGGCTCGCTGTGGTCTTCTATCTTGGTCAAGTGTCCACAATAGAATTGCCACGTCAAGTTGACCATCGTGTCAACGGCTCTCCATAATCATCGGTATCATAGCAGGCGTACCATCACCGGTCTTTGTTCTCCCAGCCAGTCCTCGATCAGCGAAGGGGTTCCTTCATCATTCATCGACTGCCAGGACTCGCCTAGCTCGTCATACTGCAATAAAGCCATCTGCTAGCCCCATTCCCGTCTCGGGGATCACGCCTACATGCTGGCCCGGAACGTTCTTTCTCGCAACGACCTGCCAAAGAGCTAGCGGTTGAACAATCCAGATCCTGGTGTAGAGCGCCTAGCCAACGGCTTTTGCATGCGTCTCTCCAAACGGTACCGCAAGGCGCGGCACGAATATGGTCTCAGCCCTCAGGTCCGAGTTACATCCAAGTCCCGTGCTAATGCTCGGACCGACATGTAGAGTAGGAAGCTATTGCCAATAAGTATTGTTATGGTCCCCTGCCGCGGAGGACCCACGACTCCTGCTGGTTGCCCCCTCCCTCGCTCTTTTACCGTTCTTCATGATCCGCAGTGACTGGTGATCCAACTAATCTGCAGAGCTTGTTCGAGATGGTAAGGTCATCGGTATATGGGGTCGCCGCCCTGGCGATCTTGGTGAAAGCCCAGTCGCCGGTGACACCGACACCATTCCTCACCACGACGACGACGCCTAATGCTGGCTCAACTACGACACTCAATGCTAGGGCAGAAACAACCACAACCTCAATGGGAAATACCTCAACGGGAAATGCCTCGACCACGGCAGCGGAGACACACACCATTGCTGTTGGTGTAGTAAGTTGTTCTGTCATCGACATATCTGGCACGAGCTTACCTTGAAATAGTCCGGGTTTTCGTTTACACCTTCAAAGGTCGATGCCAACGTTGGCGATACCATCGAGTGGCTATTCTATCCCGACGGTCACTCCGTCATACGCTCCGCGTTCGGTTTCCCCTGTACGCCGTACGAGTATGTGGAAATTGGCCGCCAAGGCTTTTACAGTGGCAATACATCGGTCAAGGCCATTACGAACGATGTGCGTCAAGTGGCGGGAGTGCCGTAACTACTCGGCTGACAATCCACAGATGCCACGGTTCAGAGTGCTTGTCAACAACACCGATCCGATTTTCTTTTACTGCGGTGCCCCTGGGTCGTGTTATAAGGAGAAGATGATCGGGGTAGTCAACGAAGTAAGTCGTCATTCGCACCCCGAGATTATGGCGGGACACTAAGGGGGTCAGAATTCGAGCCAGACACTGGCCAACCAGCTTGAGGCAGCACTTACTTTGACAACGCAAATCATCCCCGGCGAGCCTTTCCCGGTAGAATCAGATGGCCCCAACCCGACCAGCAGCTCCGGCAGCGACAACGGCAACAGCTCCGTCATCACCTACCACGCTGGCCTGAGCGTCGGTCAAGTCGCCGGCATCGTGATGGGCTCCTTGGCCTTCCTGCTCCTCGGCGGCACTCTGGTGTACATGTGCGGCCGGCAGAGCGCGATCGACCGCACCTATCGACGAGCCTCGAACAGGCAAGAACCACCTCCTAATCCTCCGCAGCCGGAAATATCGGAGCCGCCCGTCACGGATATCAATGAGCCTGCGCGCTCAAAGACCCCTACTGTTCCGGACTGGAGAGGCAGCCACTACAGCTCGTTCAGCGGGGGCCCGTACCGCGACACCGCAGGAGTCTCCGAAATGACGAGCCCTCGGCTAAGAGGGTTTTCGCACCCCACGGAAGTCTCCGAAATGACGACCCCTCGGCTAAGAGGGTTTTCGCACCCCACGGAAGGCATGCAGACATACTAGTAAGTCAACGCTTGCATAGCTTACATACGTCTGAATTCTTGACTAAACGAGATGCAGCGACTCTCGCATATCGTCCATAACCCAGAGCTCCATGGTCGAGGCCCCGAACAACCAGTCCACGTCGTCGCCCATTCCAGCTCCTCTCTCGGGTTCCAAAGCGAGGCCGGCCGAGCTTCCGACGTACGGGGAACCGGGACACTCTCCGTATCCGCAGCTCGGATGGCGGTTCTCGTTTGCCGGGCGGGAGAGCGTATACAGGCTGTCCAAGGAGGGGTAGTCTGGGGGACGGCAGTGTGGGTGGCTGAGTGCAGAATAACGTGATGTAAAAAAGCAAAATGCTCGAGCTTCACAGGCAAGGCGTTGGTGGATGGTTTTCAGGCTGGCTTTTGATTCCCTATTGTTCATTGTCGTCATCGCCAAGTTGAAACCCCGGGAAACTGCTTTGGGGTTAAATTACATCTATTCAGCGTTTGTCGATAAGCCCGAGGCCCATGAATGCGGGTAGCATTCCTTAAACTCGGGGCACCAATTTATGAAAGAGACGCTCTACTTCTTCTTCTTCTTGTTCTGAGACCAATAAGAGTTCGTTTGAAAAATGTTCAAATTAGATAGAAGCAGTGGTGTTTTCCCATCGTTCGGTATTAGTTGTCGTCCCTGGGTGGCATAGACAGCTCCTCCACGTATTACTGGGGATAGCCAACCTACTTGACGGTCGAGCCATCTCTAGATGATCAACAGAACCGAGTATTGGGCTTGGCCTCCGTATCAAAGTCATCAAGTCACCCGGAACGATCTTCCTCCCAGGCTATGGCTGGCGGCGCTGCTGGCGAACCAGTTCCACCGACGACACCTGCAGTGTCAAAGAGGGTGGGAATCATCGTCTTGGACTCTTTGTATAGTGGCAACCGCCCGAGGCAACAAAACACGGCGTTCATCCCCCACATCGATTTGGGCAGATAGTCATGTTGGTGGCTTCTGATTTGATGAGACCTGAGACAGGGTATGAAATTGGATAGCTGAGGAAACAAGCACGTGCTGCCTGCAGGCCGAGCCAGCCTGATTCCCTCGTGGTTTTACGGCCGATGTCCATCTTCCAACCAACAAGACTGATTTCCGACGTTGCGACCAGACCTTCAGAGTGCCACCTACTCCATCGAATATGCCACCATGGAAGGGCAATCATTCGGATCGACGACTGGACATATCGCGTTCCCGGGCGCCCGGGTTGAAACCGGCGGGACGCTCAACGTGACGGTCACTGATAGTCGTAAGCATGACATTACCCCGCCGCTCGAAGACGAACTCATGTTTCTAGGTACACTGAGGCAGAAAGCTCAAGAGAGAAGTACTAGAGCTGCGACAGGACATTCTAGGGCATACTCATGTCGAAACTATCAGGAGCATGGCTTCACTTTCAACTACATATCATTTCCAAGGGAGGTATGATGGGGCAGAGAAAATTAAGTCAGAAGCATTAGAGCTGTGGTGGGAGACTCTAAATCTAACTTACTGTTTTCTTGAGGTATAGTTAGCTATTGATGATATTTAGCACATCAATACGTGCAAGAGGCCATAATGTTCTGCTTGCTTTTTGGACCTTTTCCAAGATCTAAGAAAACCCTGCCCGCCAGCCACAGTCTACCATCACCACCACCACTTACTTCCCCGTCATAACACCACCGTCATGGCGAACCCTCCCAGTGTAATCAACAACCTCAGAAGTACGTCACATATCATTCAAATAGTCGCTGATGCTGAAATTACATTTGATAGCCATGTTTGAGTGGAGATTCCATGAGATCGGGAGGCATGCATAGCCAAGGCAACCTTGACGAGGCAGAGACAGCTGCTGGCGAACTTTGATGGAGCCGCGCCTTAGCCCCCTTCACCAAGCTGGCCTCGATCTGCTACTCGCTGGATCTCCCTATGGTTATGTTAATCATGCGAGAGAGGCTTTCTGTTTCTACACTGAAGTTAAGCAGCAGTACCAAAACATCATCTCAGCTGTCAAGAAAGCTAATATTGAGATGCTTGACGGAGCAAAGGCTATGTTACACACTACGCGCACCAGGAAAGAGGCTGTTAATGTGGAATGACAGAAGTAACTAGAAGTATACCTTTCTAATACTACTTTAAATAGATAGCTAACAGTAGTAGTGCTACTAGCAAGACTATGTCTGATATTCATGATGCCAAGATTAGGCAATATCATGAGCTTCTTCATGATGAGGGCGGAGGCTTTACTGAATCTGTTTTTGCCTCTGGTTCTGCTTTAACGTCTAGCCAGACTGGTCTCACAACAGTTGGTGGTGACTCTCAACGCACTGAAGGTGGTGGTCGATCGCAGTCAACTGCATCGACTGATTTCGATGATGATACGTCACCTCTCCCGCCAATGGGAGAATTACAGTACCCCGACTATGATCAGGCTTGGCCTGTCGAAGTCGGCTCATGTCAGGAGTAAGGAGGCAAGAGCAGAGGTGTGGTGCCGGAGTCCACGTGATTAGGCCGGGGGGGGGGGGGGGGGGTGTGTGCAGCTTTCAGCATCATCACCACCCAGCACCTACCATCAATACAGCAGCGTGTTCGTTTCTCACTCTAGTATTCATCCCTATTTTACAGCTCACGTCTCTCTCAGAATATTAACAGTTGGCGGGGTTCATTGTTCAGATCAATGGGAGACGCAGACGCAGAATACTGCGTCCTGGCTACCGGCCTCAGCACATTGAATATAAATCTCTTCTATCTATCACCTTCCCTTTAAAGAGACCTCTCGTAGGAAATGTCCCCACCCAGTGAATATGTACCGGACTAGATGTTGATCTTTACGCTTTTACACCAGGCCATTGACGACCGGAACGGCCGGACGGCCGTGTGGAAGGCTGCGTGGGGCTCAACAGCATAACACCGCCCTGGGAGAGGTCTCATCTTAAGAAAGAGCGACGGCTACCCACAGGCACGCCGTCAGGCATCGGCACTTCGTGTTCCATTTGCTGTCGACCGGTCTCTCGTCGCTTGGCATGCGGCGAGTGATTCACAGACCCGACGATCGAGATTGATCTACGACAAATTTTCCAGTTTCTACAACAGCTCCCGTGGTCTAGCTGGTTATGACGTTGTTCTTATAATTACATCATCAATGTGAGAAATGCGAAGGTCGCGAGTTCGATCCTCGCCGGGAGCAACCTTTTTGCATTTTGCAGCCAAAATACCAACACTCTGTTTGGTTTGCATGCGCTGTTAAAACCTGACTCGATTAATTTTTATCCTTATGCACTTATGCACTTACTCACTTACTCATCTTAGCTTGGGTACGTACGTACGTACGTACGCTTGTGAGTTGATGCCCAGGGTTGTTCCTTTTGCTCTGTAATGTGGGTACCGTCTTGATGTGGTCTGTGCATCTTGCTTTCCGACCAATCTGAGAATGTCCGACATGGTGAAGCTTGTAGCCCTGCCCATCCATCTGGATGATGTGCTGCGGAAGGCGCGAGCAAGGCCTTGACGAGCCATCTTCTTTTTTTCAATCTGCCAAACAGACAGAGAGACGATCTAACAGACAGACGGTCTGGAGTCATGGTTGGAGGGATCGCAACCGACCCCGCTCGATGTCAGGTAACATGACACTCGCTGCACTCTGTTCCCTGACTTGGGGAGCTGTGCGATATCTGGTCCCTCTGTACATCGTTCTCAAGCGTAGGACTCTGTCGCGGAGACCGCAGCAAAGGGGCATCGTCGGTAAGGGTAAATGGCACACTCACCGCCGCTTCTGATTCTTTGTGTGTTGTCATCGTTTCGCCTATTCAACAACGACATGGGGCATGGTGGAGGACGGGCAAAAAGCAAATAAGGGGAGCCTAGCTCCTCGCGGCAGCGGGCCAAACTGAAGACCCCGTCTTCGAATCACCCGATAACGCTCGTCGAGCTCTCTACCGCATTCCTCCCATGGACATCACCCGGCAGAAGCACCCGACGTCAGCCAGCCTAGGAGGTGCCGGCCACCGCTAGGAAACACCCACGACGAAAAGGCACAAAGGCCTCATGTGAGAAGTATTCGCGTCAAGAGGATGGCGCCGAGAACACAATAATCCTTTTTGCGTGAATATCCCTGGCTGTCGACTCGTGTTCTCATATCCGTTTCGTTACCCATTCATGAAAGAAGCACGGCTAACACCAGCGTTAAAAAACATCAAACGAAACAAACTCCATGCTACCACCCTGCATGCTTTATGTGCCACCTCCGATGCCCACCCAACCAGCCGCGCCATGTACTCAGACATCCCATTCCTTCTCCCACGTACCGGGGGATACAAAAGATTCATCACGTTCGAAGATAGAGGTCCATCCATTTTCAAACCCGCAGCTCGACGGCGATCTTGTCGTCCTTGGCCACGACCTCCTCCTTGGGCCCACCCCGGTCCCGCCGCCGCAGCTCGCTCTCGGCGATGGACCGGATCAGCTGGACGGCGAGCTCGGTGCCGCGGGCGACGGACGCCTTGGATGCGTCCGAGGGGACGTGGAGGAACGTCACCCGGCGGTGCTCCCGCGCCCGCCAGAGATGCGCCAGGCTGGAGAAGTAGATGAAGTCGCACAGGTAGTGGCCCGCGTCTTCCGATATGCGCAGGTCGGAGCCCTCCTACGCCCCGCCGCCGCCGTCAGCAACATTGATCGACCCTTTAAGAATATGAAGAAAAAAAGAAAGAAGAAAAAAAGAAAACGTCGGCAAATGTCACCGTCGATTATACGCCAGGGACAGAGCGGAAACTCACCGGGCTATGCGCCTTCCACCGCTCCAGCACGTCGGCCAGGTCCAGCCCCGTCTCGATCTCGGGCGGCATGCCGTGCCAGACCCAGTCGTCACCCTCCTCGCGCCGGCGCTCGTCGTCCTCGAGGCGGTGGCCGTCGACGTCCGGGAAGGTGTAGCCGTCGCGGTGGCCGCGGCGCTCGACCGAGTAGAACAGGCGCGGGCCGGCCATGCCGATGTGCACGACGGCATCGACGCGCGGGTGCGTCGCCGGGTCCCAGAACTGCGGGACGAGGGCGCGGACGGTCATGTAGTTGACGCGGATGGCCTCGGGATGGACGAGGATCCGGACGGGGGGGAGGGGCCGGCTGGCGGCGGCGGAGGAGAACGAAAACGAGGCCAGGGGGTGCTCTTTCGGGTTCCTGGCGCGGAGGGGCGGGAGGTAGGCGGGCAGGGAGCGGGCGATCTCCCAAGAGGGGTTGACGGGGTATTGGGCTTTGAACGGCTGGATCGCAAGCACGATCTGGTCAGTTCACGAAACAGGACCCGGGTTTCCAATAAATGAATGCAATTAAAAGGGAAAAGGTTAGAAGAGAAAGAAAACACCAATTAACAGCCTCGCGGAGCAGACGCCTGACGAGTGCTGCCGTTTGGGTTCGCGATGCAACAGCAAAGTCGCCGTCGGGCATGGCGGGGTCGCGAAAGGAGGGGCAAACCCGTGGGAAGACAGGCACGCACGCGGGGGGGGAAGGGTGGAAGGAGGTGTGGGGATCCAGGACGTACGCCGAAGCCAGTGACCAGCACCGTAAACTCGTCTTCCGAGTCAATCTGGGACCCCATTGTGAAGTCCGTTTCCCTTTCTTCCCTTCTTTTGCGGGATAAGAATATACAGGTTGGGAGGGTGAGAAAATGGGGAGTGAGGAGGAAGTTGCGGTTTATCCAGAAAGCCCACTACAATCCCTCCTGAAAGCAACAGCGCGCGGGGGGGGGGGGAGGGGGGAATGAATGGCGATGATAAGTCTGTTGCTTTTGTAGGTACCTGTGCGTGTAAGAGATGCACCATCCTGCGGGCGATGTCCGGGGGTCTCGCCTGTCTGCATCCGCGCGATGGGAGGGGAATGGTTACTGTGGGGTCACAGCGCCAATCGACACACTACAGCAGCAGCAGGCCAAAGGGGAAGGACGCTACGAGCAATTGTGTGGGGCACATGGGTGACAGAGAGATCCGAGGCGGGCGAGGCCACGGCTTTGGGGGCACTTTGCTTTTTTCAGACGACATGTCGACCCTGCACCAACTCAGGCCGTCGCTCACGCTGGCTAACCACCTCGCTGATCCTTGTCATATATGCCAGTTCCTCGCTTGAGGACCAAAAGTCGATTGAGAGGAGCGCCCGGGTCAATTGGGTATGGGAAACATGATAAGAGATGCACGAGGCGGCCATTGATCGGGGGGTGGGTGCAGGGGGTGGGGCGAAGGAGTCTAACGTAAGATCGCAGCAATCCGAGCGGCATGTCGTTGAGCGACTACCGGTAGGGTCACCAGATGAGGACTGACTCGTCTTTTTGCGCCTTCAAAGTGAAATAAAAGAAAAGGAAGGGGAGGAAAGACGAAGAAAAACAAAAAGCCAAGAAAGACTATTGTAGGGCGATGCGGGGGAAGGGGGGGGGAGTCTGTGTGTGTGTGTGCTGCTGTGCTGCTGTGCTGCGACGCATGGCGCGGAGGCTGGCGCAACATTGGACATGATTCGCGGTGATTTGAGTGACACAACATACCTAGGCTGCAAACTCAGCGGTAGAGGTGGTTGGCAGGAGATCGAGCCCAGTCAACCATCTGCAAAGGCGTGGTGTCCTATGGAAGAAGAAGAAGAAGAAGAAGGGGAAAAAACTTGGAGTAAACTGACACTTTGGCGAGTCACTGCTGAATTATGTCACCTTTTATGTGCGCCTCCTTCTCGGACATATGCTGTTGTCTTCCAGAGCTGCTCGAAAATGCTTTAGCAGCCCGTCTATCGACGCCTTCGCATCTAATATCTAATGCTGTTTGTGCGTAGTGCACCGTTCCGTGGTGCGGGTATCAACAAAAACTTCATATCCAGCCTCGGCTGAACCTATCATAAAGAGATCCTTGTACAACCCTCAGAGAGAGAAAAAAAGCCCTCAACCAGACCCTGACCGCGGCTCCTCGAGAATCACCAGCCCGCCAGTATCATCGTAACCCACCCGTCCTTCGTTCGCAGCTCTTCGCATTTCGTCCCGGAGAACCGTCTTTTCGCCCGTTACGGGATCCCATTCCCAGCCTTCGCGCATCCACATCCACCGTAGACACGCCCGGAGCTCCTTGTCGTCCGGTCGTACTCTCATCCACTCGGGCTGGAAGTTGGGGGCGGCGCCTTTGCCGTTCCAGTCCTCGGCCCGCCCCAAGAGCTCGTCACGGCAGAAGATGCGCCAGCTGTCGAGCGCGTATTTGCCTTGCGTAAAGTGGCCCATCTCCCACGCCTCGCCGGCTTCTCCGCTGCGTCCGGCAGTAAGCCCAAGAGAATCCTCATCAACGCCGGGCCTCAGTGTGTCTAGTTCCGCCTCTCTTTTGTCGTAATTCTTCACTCTATAAACAGTGCCTGCTGTCGGTGGCTGCCCAAGCCACAATCGGGCATATCGCTGTATCGCCGCTGTTCGCACAATCGAAAGACCCAAGTGACGGATCATGCTTACGACTGTATTAGTCGCCTCTGCGTCAGCCAAAGCGGTTGGTGTCGGAAAGCGGTCCTTGACCTTGTAAAACGCAGGGATTGCCAGCGTCCCGGCTGTCTTGACAAGGAAAGTCACAACCACAAGCAGCCAAAAAGGTTCATGAGCAAACTCTTCCTGAATCAAGCCAAAGCGCGGGGCTGACAGAGGCGGGAACGGGATCGTGGATACAAGGCCACCCACGCGTTTTGATCGGGGCGACGACTTTGATTGCGGCTGGCCGAAGAATGGTGACTTGACGGCCGTCTTCCGTCTCGGCGAAGGCTCCGGCGGAGCTACTTCTCCGACTTGACCCGTCTCAGCTCCTCTGGGGACAATAATTCGGACGAGTTCGTCGGCGATGGGCTGCTGCACGGGGATGGCCAGGATGGCCTCTCCGCCCGAAGACCCCCGGCTGTCTGCGGGCCGCTGGCTTTTAAAGCGCTCCAGTCATCGTCATTGGTTTTGCTAGCTGCAGCGCCGGCCATTTGGGTCTTGACGTCGTTGGCACGGAGTGTGCCTCGCATATTGGTGGTGCCTTCCTTGAAAGCTTCATTTTCTTGGGATTGCTTGCGGGGCGTAGGATTGGGCGTGGCTATGCCGTTGTGAATGAGTGTTGGGGTGACGATATGGGTCGTGTCAGCAGGCGATGGAGTAGCTGTTTGCTGTTCGGGGTTGTTGGTGCGTGGCAATTGCTCATCGGCGAAATAGTGAGACGTGGATGACTTGGGAGCGGTTCTGGGCCGCTTGGCTCGGTGCGTCGGCTCGGTGTCGTTGTCATCGTCATCTTCGTCATTTCCGTCATCCTCCCGTCTGCGCTTGAGAGCAGCGACCTCTCGCTTGATAGCTCGCTCCCTTTTGATGGTGGTGGGCAGAGACGGACACGGAGGCTGGGGCTCGACAGCGTGGCCTGGTCGATGAACACGCAGCAGTGCAGTCAGATTCTTGATGGACTGGTCAGTGGCCGCCCAACCCTGGCGCAGCTTCGCCGCGGCTAGCGTGGCTTCTTTGACTCGAGGGATGTAAGCCAGAATATCTCGTGCATCAAGCGGCGAGCGAGCTAGGTCCCTGTCCTTCATTGCAGCCGCACTCTCCAGCATCAGGTTCCAGTCCTCGTATCCACTGAGGAGGCCGAGGTCGTAGATGGCTAGCTTCTCGTCCAAGGGTGTGCCGGGGGCGCGAAGGACGCTGAGGAGGAAGGGCTTGTCGTCGTCGGAAACGTCGAAACCGACGAAGATGTCGTCAGCTGGCGCCATTGCTAATGATGTGTGACGATGTGAGTGGAATAGCGGGGCGAATATTGCGGATATCGTGAAATCGAACGTGATGAGGCGGTGATAGACCAGCGATGATTGATAGCTAAAGTGATGGCTTCGTCGAAGGGGTTGGGTGATGGAATGAGCAGTGACGAAATGTTGTCAAGGGCGTGAAAAATTATTTCGGGAAAGGGAGTGAACGGTTATAGTGAACGGAGATGGGTTTTTGAGATTCAGGGCAGTGAGCGTTGAGTGAGAGGCACCCGAGGTTGACTGACTGAGGCTTCAACGGAACCAGGGAAATGGCAGGTGGGATTTCCTCAATTGGCTACGAGCCTGGCATGGCAGGCGTGGAAAGCACCCATTGTGCTTCGGGGGGGCGTTCAATAGCATTCAGTTCCAGCGTCAAAGAGACACTGGAAGAATTGACGTAGGGGAGGTTTCGATTAACCAAGGCAAGGCAGGTGCGTAAACGGGCAAGGGGGGGTTAATCTGCCTCCAGCAACGACAACGGTGCTTTTGGTGAGGTCGGTTGTCGTCAGGTCAGTGTTTAGGAGCAACGTTTTCCGGCTCAGCACAACAAAAACCTGCTGGTGTGGTTGTTTAGCCTCATGCGGATCCCCTGGCTTAGGTACCTTTCTTCTCCCAGCGTCATCGGGCCAGCCACACACATACATAAACTACACAGCCCGCGGATGGGCCTAACTCTCTGTCTGCCTGGCTTTGACTGAGAATCTGGGGAAAATAGCAACTGGCTGCGGTCCCAGGGCTGAAATGAAACACCCGGCTGGCTGTTGAAAGAGACGGGAGGACAAGACTGGCGGGCACTTTGCTTTGTCGAAGCCATGGTCGTGTGTGGCGTACGAGCTCGCGTGTGCTGGTGTCAGTTGTTGTTTATGTATCCGTATTTGTCGGCGATCAGGATCAACAGGGCGATTAAAATATGAGACCTCCCTGCCTGGCCTGTCACCGTTGCGGTCCGTCTCGCTCTGAACGATTGATGTGCCAGGTCGGCCCAACTTGTTGGAGATGCCCTGTGTTTTATCCCAAGTGCCAGCAGCCAAGACGCCTAGGACTCGCTAGCAGCCTACAATCCGTCCGTTCCCGAATTCTAGGTTGCCTTCTCGAACTGTTGCTGTTCAGGGGTGCCTCGCCAGAGCCTCCTCCCTTTCCCCAGGTTATGCGATAGGGGAGATAATCTGGTTGGCAGGCTGCTATCGCGTTGATCAAGTTACGCAGTCTTTGGAGCTGGTCTTGTGACTTGCCCGGAGGTCCACTTCTCACCATCGACATCGAACCCGAGGAGAGCCGGATGTGCATAATGGGATGCAATCCTTAGGAATCACTGCATAAGGAGTCCGTCAGTCTGCTCGAGCGTGTCCCAATCTGGATGTCGCAATGATTACAGAGCAAAGCAACTGTGAGTTTGAGTCTGTTTCGAGGCACGACCAGTTACCATCAGGTGCAAGAAACAACACAGAGCGTGCTGGCCCATGCAATGGTACCTGAAATCGGCAAGTCCAATCGAGGCCGCCAAGACCATCCCATCGCCCGGAATGCTGCTAGAATCGCCATCCGGCACCAGCGACCCGCGAACCCCCCGCACCCCCTCGCGAATAGCATTCTTTTCCTTTGGGTTGCCCGGCATGTACATGCAAGTAGGCCTTATTCCCGTCACTGTCAGCCGGCTTCCCTTGATCGCCTGAGTAGGTAGGCAAAGTGTGGCAGTGGCATGAACCAGGAAAGTCTATCCGGGCAAGCGTGTTGTATTGTTTTATGTAGTGAGCGGAGACCGAGATAGGCGTTCGGTGCTTGCTGCGGGTATGTGCCACGTCTGAAGAAAGCCGAAGCGGGTACGTACCTTCCTTGTACAACTAACTGCTCTGCCTGTCTCGACGCATGATGAGTGGTCCATCGCGTGATGGACTGTGGGGCTTACCGAGTCACGTGGAAGCTTTCACCCAATCCTTGTCTCCAGCCAACCCGTCGCCTCATTTACTGCCTACTCCCCATTTTCGCCGTTCCTAGAACTTCCAGATCCTGTCTCAACTTCCGCCCATCCCCCATCATATCCAGCGCGTCCTTGTCATTTCTTCCGAGTGTTCACCAACCCGAATCGATCACTCTCAGCGTCAATCGAGCATCGAGAGATGAGTAGTCGCGGCGGTAAACTAGCCCCAGAAGTCAACCGGTGAGTCCGAATTCTTCTTCAATGCCTAGCCTGCCTCTGTATATCTCTGCATCCTGCCCCTGCCTTGCACACACGACCACCCGGGACCCGGCCAACGTCACCCCACGGCCCACGCCGTACACGCCCGGTCCTGCCCCTTTCGACACTCCTCGGGGTCCTTATTGATACCACTTCCGTTGCACTACTTGATGATGGAACATGGCTGACTGGTTGTCGCACAGAGCTCTGTTCGTGAAGAACTTGAGGTATACCTTGCCCGCCCTCGATATCGACGACACGACGCTTGGCACCGGCAACTGACATGATGACAGTTACAACGTAACTCCAGAGGAGTTGTTCGACCTGTTCGGCAAATTCGGCCCGATACGGTACGCATCATCCCGTCCATGACTGGCACTCGGCGTCGACATCAGTGACTAACCTCTGCTACAGACAGGTCCGTCAGGGCATTGCTAGCGGTACCAAGGGTACCGCATTCGTTGTCTATGAAGACGTAATGGATGCAAAGCAAGCTTGCGACAAGCTCAACGGTTTCAACTTCCAGAACCGTTACCTCATTGGTATGTCGACGCCGACCCCCTCCACGACGGGTGATGAATGCTAACATCCGCAGTTCTCTACCACCAGCCAGAGAAGATGCTCAAGTCAAAAGAGGACCTCGAGGCCCGCCGGGCCAGTTTAGCGCAGCTCAAGAAACAGCACGGTATCGATTGACAATCCGACGGGTCTGCGGCACGCCTCCAGACATCTTCCTCGTCTGCAGGCCCGTCTATGTCTTCGCTTAAATCGAGCGCTTCTCCGGATCAGAAGACGATCCTAAGAAAGGGCAAGCCGACCATCACCGGGCACGCACGCAGAGTCGGTGTACGATTCGCTGACGGAGTGCGGTCTAACTCGCTCCAGGCCCAGACTTGCGCTTGATACGGCGGCGTAGTTGTGAAAACTCATGACCCGCCAAAAGTCAAGTTTCGTTCTGGTCGGGATCCTTACGGTGCAGAGACACGCGCAACTTCATTCGTTCGCTGGTTTTGGCTTGAAAATGCCCGAAAACTCACTAGACCTCTCCTGGAGAGTATCATGACCTGATATGAATCTTGCGCGATGGAAGGCGAGGCATTAGGGATTAGGAAACCGGGTTGAGCCGTCCGTGGACACTGATGCTATCTTCAGTCTCGGCGGTGTTTGTATCATTTATTTTTTCTTTGTTGCTGAATCTGGGAAAGGGAGGGGGCGTATCACCTTTGCTTGTGGATTACCTTCCTTCGACACTCTTCACTGCAAGTCACTATCATCATCAGAGAATGCACGACAAATCGAGGCCTTGTCCTCGTATTCCCCTGCTGCTAAACCGTGGACCGCCTTCTCGATATGAGCCAATATTGCATGTTGATATGTCACAGTAAAATTGTTGAGTTACGCACATGTGTTCGTCATCACGTCTGAGTGCCGTCTCGTGTCATCATGATCCACTACATGGGTTACCGCATTTGCTCGTCAAGCGCATCTGTGCAAAGAAGCATATGTGCGGTATGACCTTTTTCTCTTCTTCGGTTCTGGCTTTGCCGTTCGGTTGAACGAACTGCGTAGCCACCGAGAGTGTGATTCTGTTGCCTTTTCAGAATTCCGTTTGATAATACACTCGGGACGTCTTAACGTTTACCATCCGTCGGCCGATGTCGACGGAGACGGCCAGAGTTGTGGATGTGAAACGTCTCACGATACAACGACGCCTAGCCCCCATACTCGGGTGCTCCTCATAAAAAAAAAACAATTGACCGCCATAGTGAAGCCGGCCAACCCATGCCATCGGACGCGACCAGGCACGGCCCGCGTTGAGGTTGGGAAAAGGGCCTAATGGCACAGGTACCCCCCTGTCTGGGTGGCAAGAAGCTAAAGGGGAGGCGCTGGGCGAGCGTCATCTTGTGGAAGGGAGGCGGAGAGAAAGTGTGAGGCGCGTCGGGACCGGTGAAGAAGCTTTTGCCCGGGTGCCGGGGAGGGGGGGGGTTTAGTTAGGCCCGTTGCTGCCACGGGGAAGGGGGAGTAAACGGGCCTAAACGGTACGATGGGGGCTGTGTGTGTCTTGGCAGGTGACGGTAGTGCCCTTTCGGGATCCGGGCTTGGTTCCGAACGCGGAACCGGGCGCCGGAAGGGCTGCGAGCTCGCGGGGGAGGGGAGGGGGAGCCGGCCGGCAGAGTTCCCCGGCCGGGTAAGGTTGTACAGGCCGAAGAGGGTGGGGGCCGGGAAGGGATGATTCGAGGACGGGGCGCGTGTTTACGGCTGGCAGCATTGGAGATTGGGCTGGTTTGTTTTTCCTTATTCTTAATTCTAATTGTTTCCCAAACCTTCGTTGTCATTCACGTACGTAGGTCTGGGAGAGAGCATTGTCCAGACACCTCCTACCTGTCTGAAGGCTAGGGAAGGGAGGGGGGGAAGGAGAGCGGGCATGAAATCGGATGATCACCGTCCCGTGGATCTCTCGGTCTCACCACCCAAAACGTTGCTTATTTCTCTCTCTTCTCCCGCCCGTCCGGAAAGATTGTAATTGAGGGGGGGGGGAGCCTGGTGTTGGAAATCCGGTCAGCGCAGAAGCACACGCTCACCCCCCCCTTTCCTGAAATCTTGCCTTTTTGAGTCCAGTATCTGCCCCCATCTAGCCTTTCCTCATCAACACACCACCCTTCATCACCACCGGCCGCCCCCACCGCCGATTTCTCGGCCAACCAACACCCCCCGGCCGCTCCTCCGGCATCTTCTTCCATCATTTCCAGCTTGTTTTGTGAGTTCGACATGCTTTCCCCCCGCCAAACAGGCTTCCCGGGAATGCATGGCCCGCTGCGCCGTACTCGTCTCCGCGCCCCGGTTGGCCTCATGGGTTATCGTCCGTCAATCCGTGTGGGTCCCGGCATTGGGAGAGCAGTGATACTGCGGCCGACCAGCATTTGTGGGAAAGGAAAAAAAAAAAAAAAAAAAAAAAAGGCTAGCCATTCAGGACCATGGACACAAGGACGCAGGTCGGCGGGACCAGACCGTTCTTCATAGCCTGCAGATGGCGAGCCAAAGAGGTAAGCGAAGACGCACGTGGGTCCACAGAATCCTCCAATGGCGGGTGGCCTAATCAACCGTTCCCCTCACGGGACGGGAGACGCCGCCTTGGATGCAGCTCGCCGTAAATAGGGGACCAGTCTCAATCGCCTTTGCCCGAGTGCCGGAGCTTGGCGAACACCTATTCTCACTTGCAACCTCCAGGCTACTTGGTCGACAAAAGACCGGCGGCACCTGGTCCCGGGAAACATGTGTGAAGTTAAATGCATCTTCTCCATTCCCAAGCGCGCAGCTTGAACTTTCAGTATCCACTATAGAACCTTCTGCGTCTACCCGTCATATATGCTGCAATGTGACTCCCGCGAACCGCGCCCAAACGCAATCGCAGAGCGGGACAAAAGGTGCAACCATTTTTAATGCCGTTTGAAATGCCAAGAAACCGACCCCATAATATTGTTGGCCTTCGTCTTCTTTGTTTTTTCTCCCTTCAAGACTTCCCGCCCCCTTTCGGGGCTGGGCTTTGGTTGCTTCTCGTCCTCCGCTGTTTAGTAAACCTTCTTCTTCTCGTCGATGGAGAACTGGCCGGGGCCGGAGTTGACGAGCAGGAGGAGACCGCCGACGATGGAGAGGATCTGGAAGAAGTCGTACTTGGCGAAGTCCTTGTGGGGGTGGTGCTCGTGCAGCTACGGGTTCGTTAGCATCAGGTGCTGCGGAGCAGAAAACGGCACAGGAACTTACAGTCCAGAAGTTGTTGACGAGGATGTTGAAGATGCTGAGGATGAGGACGAGCAGGGTGGCGCTGAACTTGGCCTTGAAGCCGACGACAACCATGACGCAAGCGACGAAGCCAATGATGGAGGTGATGATGCGCCAGATAGACCACGTGCCGCTGAAGATGAAGCCAACGAAGAGGAAGATGAGCAGGACACGGCCGGCAAGCTGGAAGTACATCTTGCGGTCCTTCTCGTCAAGCTGGGGCAGGCCGGCAAAGGCCTTGCTCTTGCGAACCCACGAGTCAGAGAGGACCATCAGCAGACCGCCAATGACGGACAGGTTGCGCAGGAAGAAGTTGAGGTCGAAGATCAGGCCATATCCGAGGGCCTGGGTGACGACAACGCCCATAAGGCCGGCGACGGCGTAGTCAGAGTACTTGCGGATGATGACGAGGCTGGAGCAGGCGACCATGGCGAGAACATTGACGATGAGGAACAGGTGCGTGATACCGGAGGGAACTGCAGAAGGGTTAGGTTAGCCTTGGGCCCGCCATCTCGTGGTTTGTGGGCTCGCAAACGTACTGTGGCGGTAGTCGTGGAGATAGAGGAGCTGGTCGCTCCACTGGGTAACGATTCTAATGGCATCCTCGAGGAAGGTGACGACGATAAGGAAGCGGCCAATCACGGGCAGGTGACTGTCAAGCAAGCCTCGGTCAGCATACAGAGTTCACACACGCGACCACCAGCAGGCGGCACAGCTCTCCGTGCTAAAGCTGAATCAGAAAAGCGTCCAACTCACGGCTTGATGGGCTCGCTGACGGAGTCGAGAAAGTCCTCAATCTTGCTCGTCTGTTGACGGATCATGTCCAAGGGGCTGGACTCGGAGGTGTCTGCACTCGGGCCGCCGAAGGACGGGGGACCGCCGGCGCCAAGGCCGTAAGAAGGGCCTCTCTGCTGAGCCATTGTGTGGAGGGAGGTGGATAGGTCGAGGTGGCTGTCGCACGAGGGTGTACAGACAGACCAGCTGTTCGCTCTGGCGGTGATGTGTTGCTCAAAGGGTCGTCGTCGTCGTCGTCGTCGTCGGAAGTGACGGGACTGTTTAGTGGAGAGGCGGCGCGGGGAGCGTCGAAACCGTGGGAGAATAAAATGAGAGTGGACTGCGAAGCTGGGATCCGAGGGCTAGCCTTGACCGCGAAAGATGGAAAGGTAGGTAGGCGCAGGCAGGTATAGGTTCTGCGACGGAAAGGGAAAAAAACCGAGGCGAAAGGAGATTGGCAAAGTGGCCCGTTGGCGCTCTTGGGAGGCAGGGGAGGGGTTTGGGAGAGCAAGCAAGCCGTGAGCTGTCGGAGGGTTGTGAATGGGTGCGTGTGGTCGGTGAAAAGAAGGAGTTTGCGACTTTGTAGTGTCGAAGGGGACCGGGAGGGAGACGAGACGACGAGGGCGGATGGATGGGAGCGAGGAGGGCAAGCTGGCCTGAATTGCCTGGATGACTTCGGATTTGGTACAATGTGTCCTTTCGAACCTCCCGCGATGGACACTGATGCTTGGAGGTCCGAGGTATCCACTTTTTAGACAGGACATCCAGAACGGGTAGGTCGCTGGGAATGTACCTGCACCTCTACTCGGTACATGGATAATTGCCGCAGCTGCCCGCCCCCGCCCATGTACCTGCCGAGGGGGGAAGTACCAGCAACACGCTGGGGGGGAGAAAGGCTCAAGCTCACTCAACTACCTAGGTACGCAGTACGCAGCACGCTGGAAGGGGGGGGGGGGGGGAGAGAAGCACGTCGAGGGCTGCAACCGTCGGCATCAGCCACTGAGCGCTCGCCGCATTCCCAATACCATGCTGACTTCCATACCCTTCCCTTAGCTGGCTCATGCGCGCTCAGTCCCTGAGCTCGGCACGAACGCCTAAATTCTTATGCGTGTTTTATTTCCTGTCGACCCTACCCAGGTACAGGTTAGCGGCAGCTGCAGCTGTTTCTCAAACGCTTCAACCGGCAAACCCGTAGCCCGCATCCACCCCCTAATTTGTTTTGCATCCTGGTGGAACTCGAATTTGACTCGAGTTGCAGAAAACCAACTGTTGCCTGAGGCCATTGCGTTTGCAAAAACCCCAAGCACCAAAAGAACTACTGACTGTTGATTTTCGCCTTCCATCCCAGCCTTCCGAGCTTGCTCTCTGTCTGGTTTGTGCTGGGCTGTTCCATGGCGTGATAGCAACCTTCCGTCGCTGGCTGCGGTGGCTTACTGTGCACCACTGCGTCCAGCAAGCCATCTATCTACCCGTTTTTCCCTTCCTTGAAGGTCTGACAGCGGCCCTGCTAAACCAAAGGCGGCTCCGCCGCCCAGATGCTTTTGCCGCAGCAACCCTAAAAAGCCTGTCTCCATCAGAGCAGTTTTAAATTTAGGGTCCAGCTGACTGTACCTCATTCTCCGTGGCTCATGGCTGCATGGTGCCTGCTCTAGAACTCCACCAGTGTGAGAGGGGGACATCGTGTCTGACTCGTTCGACTCCAGATAGCGGCAAGGCTCAACATCTCTGAAAGAAGAAGAAAAAAAAAAGAAAAAAAAATGAAGAAAAAAAAAGTCATCAGCTGGACGTCAGGAGGCGCCTCAAGTAAGGCAGAGTGTGCTTACTTGCCACAGTTCTCGAGACGACGGCCTCCGCTTCACAGAGCCGGGAGCCGCCACAACACGGTGGGGTGTACTCGAACCTGGCGTTTGGCAGTGTGCTCGAAACCTGCATCTCCTTTCGGATGCGGCGGACGTCGACAAGCTCAACGGTTCTCGCGCCGGCCCCTGGGCCGATACCAATGATGCATCCAACATAGGAACCCTTGTTGAGCCAGGCAGCTCCCAGTCTATCGACGTGACAGGGAAGCAACAGACTGCGGTGAAAGCCTGTCGTGACTTACAGACGCTATGAAAGCCGTCGCCGGTGATCTACAAGCAGCCAGCAGATTGTGGCATTCGTAGGAAAGATGCCCGAGGTACCTCGTCGACGACAGCCGCGACTCTTTCAGCTGCAGGGGTAGCCATTTCAGTGGGCGGTGTTCAAGTGAATGAAGCCACACCTTCTGGAGTATTGGGTTTGCACTTCGGGTTCTGATGTGGTGTTTCCAGCAACATTTGGCAGAGAACTGATTCCCTGCAGAACGAATCAAATTCTATCCGCCTGCGACAGAACTAGCTGAAGACAACCCCCCCCCTTCCGGTCTCCCTCTCCTCGCCGGCCCGATGAGGTAACCCGCACCCACCTCTTGCATGTAAGGAGCAACAAAAGATCGGAACGATGGACCGTGTCCGCAACGTCCCTCCCGTACCGTGGATCCGTACTCGGGCGGCCGGCAAGCACCGGACAAGTCTTGTCCCTCAACTCCCGATGCCGCGCCTCCGCACACGAAGGCCGTGAAAGCGGGGAGGGAGAGCCGCGTTCCCGGTGGGAGTGGGTACATCCGGGGCCGGGCACGCCAGCCGACTTCCTCAAGCCCGATTTTCATGGCCACGTATAAAAAGAAAAGGAAAAAAATTAATTTTGATGTTTTAATTTGGGTTTTGAGGGGGGCAAAAAAGACTAAGCGGGATAGACGAGGCAACTTTACAGATACCAAAAGGTTTCCAGCAAAACACCGACGGTGCTTGTTTGCTGTTATTCGCTGGGATTAAATCTGGTCCGCGGCGCTCGTCGGCACAGCGATGAACCACCGACATCGGGTCTGGACACATCGAGCCATGACTATCGTCACACACACACACACTCTCTCTCTCTCTCTCTCGGCCGAAGCCCGGTCGAGAAGCAGGCAACACGCGACTCTTTCCAGGTTCAATAAGGACTCAAGGCGGGAGGAGGAAATGCCAACTCCATTTGTTACGTGCCCCAAAAAGGGACCAGAAAAAGGATACGACCGGGAAAAGAAAGGAGGAGGGGGGGAAAGGGGGATTAGGGGGTGGGGGGTATATTCATGAGATCGTCCCGAATCATAAACTACTTCATTGCCTGGATCCGGACCGTGACCTTCTTGTCCGGCCTCGTGCCGTCCTTGCGCTTCTTCCCGACGTACGACAGCCGGCCCTTGACGTCCTCCGGGTCGATGCCCACCGCGGCGCCGGCCGCCACATGGACCGTCAGCTCGATGCTCGCCCTCCTCTTGTCAGGGTCCGCGGTCTGCGTGGCCTCGAACCTGGAGATCTCGCAGTTAGCGCACGCACGCACGCTCGCCTCTCGGTACCAATGCGGTCCGCTCTCCATCCCGAAGAAAGAAGAGAAAAAAACATACCTCAAAGTCGACTCGAGCTCCTCGACGCTCTTGGGCCAGGCCGGCACCAGGTCGACCATGACGGCCGCCACGGCGCCCAGGTACTCGGCCCAGAAGACGCTCTCCTGCCTCGCCTCGGCGACGAGGCCCTTCAGGTTCCTGTACAGCTGCACGTCGATCGGGCCCAGGTTCGAACCCCACCGCGCGCACGTCGTCAGCCCCAGCACAGCGCGCGCGAGGTGCGTCAGCCCCGGCGCGCTGGGATCCCGCGTGACGGCCTCGTGCAGCGCGTACGACGCGTTGGCGTCGTCGTCCTCGCCCTGGTGGATCCAGACCTGCCGCGCGAACAGCGGGCCCAGCCCCAGCGAGAAGACGGTCGGCGTCCGCGAGATGTCGACGTTGACGGGCACCGCGCCGTACAGCGTCCGCAGCACCGCCTGCGCGACCGCCATGTCGCCCTTGCCGCCCCCGGCCCCGCCCGCGTCCTCGTGGCCCTGAATCGGGAACCCGGCGAGCGCCTCGAGGGGGTTGCTCTCCCGCACGCTCTTGGGCAGCTTCATCAGCAGCGCGCCGTCGCGGTTCGAGCCCCCGCAGAAGGTCACGGTGCGCAGGTGCGGCACCGTGCGGATGAAGGCCTCCACGACTTCGATGATGGCCGGGAACTGCTGCCGCCGCCGCTTCGAGATGCCGTAGATCTTGCCCTCGTGCTCGCTGTTGACGCGCCGCATCTTCTCCGTCTGCTTGAAGAAGTCGCCCGTCACCGTGTAGGTGCCCACCGACGGAAGCGGATACGGCTGGATCGGGTCGTTGTGCTGCAGCATGCACCCGTAACCCCGGAACCCACCACCGCAGAGGTAGGCGTCGATGCCGCCCGCGACGGGGCCGGCGCTGGTGCCTGCGCCGTTCGTCGTCGGCGCCGCCGTCGCCGAGGCCTCGTGTTCCGCCTTGGCCTGCGCGAGCGCCGGGAACTTGTCGCACAGCTTCGCAAAGGCGCTCTGCATGCTCGCGTTGAGCCTCTGCTTCTCCTGTGCGCGCACCTCCTCCGGCTGCCCCTCGAGGACGCGGATCAGCCGCGCCGCGCCAAAGGGCATGCTCTCCCCCGCCAGGGCCGCAGCGATTTCGTAGTCGGGGAGCCGCGTGTCGACCCAGGTCATCTGCACGGACCCGCCGCCGAGGTCGAGGAACAGGCCGCCGCGCGAGATGTCGACGAAGGCGGAGCGTGAGCCCATGACGGCGCCGAACAGGGTTTCGACCTCGGGGGCCAGGACGTGGACGCCAATGTCGGCGGCCTCGCGGATGGCAGTCAGCATCTCGCGGGCGTTGGCGGCGCGGCGCATGGCCTCGGTGGCGAGGACGGAGAAGTGGGCGGGCGGGACGCCGTAAGAGACGGCGATGCGGCGGAAGCGGGCGAGGGTGCGGGCGACCTGGGCGATGGTCTCGGCGGGGAACGTCATAGGCTCGGAGCCGGCGCCGGGAGAGACGTTGAGGGCATCGAAGAGGGAGATGCCGGCGCGCTCACGGTAGATGGGCCGGAGGAGACGGGTCTGGGGTGGGGTGAGATCCGAGATGGAGAAGCGGATGCCGTTGCTGCGGGATGGGATGTTACGTCAGTTCGGAGGCGTTCTGCCTGGTCGAGGATCAATGGCAAGCATTGCGACACATCAACGTCATTAAGCACGTTCAAGCATGTCGAGGGACCGGAGCGATAGGGCTGAATAAAGCAAGACGTGATGTCCACCCAATTTCTGATAGAAACCCTGAAGGCGATCTCCGGAGACGTGGGGAAACCGAAAAGAAAGAAAAAACACAACTCGATGAAAGGAAACTCGCGTCGACTGACCTGCCCATATCAACGAGCGCGTACAGGTGATTGGTGCCTGCGGGGTCCCATCTTGGCAGCAGCTGCTCAAAATTGTCGAGCGTTATGATGTCAGAGCTCGAGGCCATGGCCGGCGTGGTGGAGGCCGAGTCGAGGTCGTGGGGGAAGGGGAAGAGGGGGGGGTAAAAGGAAACAGGAGGGGTAGTATTTTGTCCTCAAAGCAGTCGTTGTGCAGAAAAGGATTTTACGGGGGGTCGGCTGCCGACATATATCTCTTCGCTTTTCTTCTTTTGCCTCCGCCTTCTTCTTCGTCCGCCTGGCGCGTCTTCTTAAGAAGTTGCTTGTTTCCGATGCGCGTGCGCTTGTGCGTGTGGGTATGCGTGTGCCGCAGGGATGGGATATGTATGCGAGGTGGGCAAGGTAAGGCAGGGCAACAGAAGGGGGAAAGCGTGAGATAGAGAGCGAGAACGAGAACGAGAGCAAGAGAGAGAGAGTGTGTGTGTGTGAGCGAGAGAGAGAGAGGTACGGTAGGATGATGAAACGAGCCGGGATGCTGACAGAGAGGCTGATAGTGTCGTTGGATGTGAGGGGAAATCTACGTAAACGGAACCTGTTGCGTGTGAGGTGTGGATTATTGGATACTTCGGCGATGGGCACCCAGGAAACCAGCGTAGCTGTGGACTTGCCTAACAATCCTGCATCCACAGTGAGAGAAAGAGTGCGTGTGAGAGAGTAAGAGAGCGAATCTTTCCAGGGTTGCGTGGGGAGCAGTGCGTCTCCGGTCGGCTTGATATACCCTCTTGACACTCTTTTGGTCTTCAACGGTGAGTCGAGAAGGCTTCTTGGTAAAGCATGTGCAACACAGGAGGACACTATCCGAACCGTGAAGCAAAATGAAATCTCACCTTACCAGTAACACATAGAATGGGGTGGTGGTGGTGGGGGGGAACCCGCACCGAACACATATTACACTAGCTTCTATGAACCCTTGGAAGGGCTCGACTTTCCGGCTTTAGGCAACTAATCCGTCGCCCTCCCCCCCCCCCCGCTCTTACCCATCTCATCTCTCACAGCGTCCCGACTCTTGCATTTCAATGCCGTCTACCTACTACGTAGTAGGTATCACAGACATGCGCCCTATATTCCGCCTCCGTATGCCGCACCGCTTCGCTCTATCATCGCGACCCTAGACCCCGGGGATGACCGCCTAGAGCCGCTCATTGCCGGCGCGTGACGGCATCTGCTGGTTGATGCATCCCTCCCATGCGGGTTGGCCTCGGTTGCAGCCCACCTGCATATTCGCTTGCCCGCCCGTCACTGACGACCAAGCTGCTTCACAGAGTCGATTGAGGGGCAGGGTCTCATCAATCGGCCTGCTCCGCTGTGCGAGCATGTTGGTTCTGGTTCATTTGCCGCCGCCGCCGCCGCTATTGCTGCCTCGTCCTTAGTCACACACTCTGCTTCCTCTACCAATTCGGCGACGAGAGAAGACCAATGAATGAGTTTCCAACCGACTCCGATAATTAATGCCGGTTCACACGCCAAGCCAAGACCTGCGCAGAGTCACGACGAGTCGGCCTCGAAAGGTGAGGGCTCACCACGCCTGACCCGATAGACGACATGTCGCCAAGAGCCGTGTTGAGCGTCAGACATCGAGATGCCTGCCCACGGATGTATGTGCACAAAAGACTCCAAGGCGATATCTGACATGCAGATGGTACGTGACATACGCCCGTAAAAATCAAACGTAAGCATTAAGGCACCTAGTTCTCTAGACCCAAACTCCGCGTCGCATGCTTATTGCTCCATGAGCGTTCGTCTTTCCGATTCGGTCATGGCCATGTCGTTGCTGCCAAGGCGAACGCGTTTGCCTGTTGCCCATACAAGGTAGTGTAGTCATCACGCCACGCAACTCGCCCGGTAGAATCTGGTTCCGTGCCGACTGGCCCCTTCCCCAAGGCGTA